CTCTCCCATGTACAGTTAGTTCGTAATATTGTCTCACTGGGATCGTTCATTGGCTACATCTTATATTGTGTGAAGGTACCGGTCAGGTGTAGCAAACACAAGGCTTCTCCATGACAAAACTGCTTTTCTTCCTCAACTTTAAGTCATGAAGGAATCACAAATGTGATCACAATGGAGACCGCCTTGTAGGATATACACCTAAATATATAAAGATGCTTATATCTGGGAAATATATTATATGGACTGCGCAAATACCACCAAAACACTTCCAGTGTTACCATATCAGATATTGAGCAGTTATGCTTGACGTCAGTCAAACAACACATTTATTACTTGCTAAATGCAAATAGTTGAAAATTGGCAGGAAAACGTGCATGCAATATTCACATAACACAGTGCACCGCTATGATGCAACAAGAACCAGTCATTTCATCAAGCAAAATCTGTTACCATGGTAACATGGGCTGAAATAGACATAAATGTGGTTGAACCTATTTTACAAGAGACAACAAGAACATCTCTAGACTGTTCAAGACTGGGCCGAATGTGGGCTTCAAATGTCTCAACAGGTCATTGAACACATCTACATGACTGAATATTTGTCCTTGACACTGAATCTTGATGGAATGTTTCACTCCAGGAAACACATAGGGGTGAAACGATACAGCAAGGTCACGATATGATACATATCATGATACATAGGTTATGATACGATACATATCATGATACGCAGGTCATGATAGTATATGTATCGCGATACACATATTTATGTCAAATCACATGGAAACTTCTTGACGATAAATATTTCAGAGCTGCAGACACATGTTCGTAGTGGCTCTTTTTAGTAGTGAACTTGAAAAGCTAATTACAACACATTTTGCAATATTGAAGCACAAATGTTGGGGCAAGGGTCATTACACGAGTTGTAAGTAATTTATTTCAGCAAGTGCATCGTCTTGTATCGATAAAATTATAAATGTATCGTGTATCGTATCGTCACATGAAAACCCACGATGCACCAGTACACTGATGTATCATTTCCCCCCTAGAAACACATGCACTAGTCATTAAAGCACGATATACACTCAACATTGGACACCCTTCACGACAGTGTGAAAGATGTCAGTGCATGCCATTACATATGACCACATTCCTGAAAGCACGGATGAAGCTGTGGCAACTGCCTCCATCTTCTCTTTCGATCTCACAGGTACAAATAATACTGATAAAAAGCCAACATGCCAACATGCCAACAAGCCAACATGCCAACAAGCCAACATGCTAACATGCCAACAAGCCAACATGCCCCAGCCCACCAAGCAAGAAAACACAAATAGAATGAAGTGCTCCAGATAACTTTTCAATCATATAATCACAGTTCTTGTAATTATCAGAACTGATGAATACAAGACATATTTTTTTAAAACCAAAAAGTCCAGTACTGCTTGTTTGTAGAATTGATGTACCAGTATGATATTAGCGCCCCATCAACCAAGGACCTTGTGTTGTACAATCGGAATTTGGTGCCGAACTAACGTAACATAACCAAATTAAGTGTGTTATTTTTAGCCAATGACAATGCAGGATTGGGAGGAGATCCATTTGCTGCTGACAGGAAAAGACGTATTCCTGTTTACGTAGACGATATGCCCGATAAGAAAACAAAAGTTTAACGATGTTTTGAAGAAATTCTTTGAGAGAGTGAGTATGGTTTTACCCCGCTTTAAGCAATATTCCAGCAATATCACGGTGGGCTTCAAACATTGTACCAATGTGGGGAATTGAACCATGGTCCTCGGTGTGATGAGCGAACGCTTTAACCACTAGGCTACCCCACCGTCCCAGAAAGTCTTTGAGAAAAAATAGACAAGGTAGGTAACAGTTAATCACGAGAGTGTAAAGAATTGTCTGCCCACGTATTGATATGATTGTAATTTACAATCTGTCAATATTTGACTTAGTTTTCATCCTTAAAATACACCAATTTGGACTCCATCTGGAGCATTGGTAATGAGTGGGTGAGTGAGTATGGTTTTACGCCGCGTTTAGCCGTATTCGAACAATATCACCGCGGGAGCACCAGAAATGGGCTTCACACATTGTACCCATGAAGGGAATTGAACCATGGTCTTTGGCGTGACGAGCGAACGCTCTAACCACTAGGCCACTGGCCACCCCAGCACTGGTAATGAAAGATTAACGAAGCAAATAGGCCATGAAAGCTCTACTTAATTAGAAAGCATCTTGCATCAGCACCTGCTGTAAAAGAAGAGTTAAAACTCAAAGTATATCAGATTCAAGCAGTCCTGACACTTTCTCCGTCACAGAGTCAGATAAACATATTCAACACAAACATATTTACACAATCATGAGCATACAACATATAAAAGCAATGCAAAACGAATCTGTAAAGTCTTGTATTTCTATCAGAACCTATAAATGGTACCACTACCACGGTCACCATGATGAAAGGAGAGGTCAATGAGTGCACTCACCATGGCCGTGCATACACAGGCATACCAAAGAAAACCAGCAGAACGCTTCCAAACTATGGAATATGCACACACTTTAAATAGCAATAGCCACACAAATACTCACAGACACACAATCCCAATAAAGTTTGCATTGCAATGATAAGAATCGGGCAAATTTTCAAAAGAAACTGACACAGTAAATTATGCAGATTGTAACCATCAGCCATGTAACTTTATGGGGATAGTGTCTCTCTTGGTAATTTGTGTGGCTGTTTCTATTCAAGGCGTGTTCATATTCCCAAGTTTGGGAGCCTTCTGGTTTTCTTTGGTAGGCATGCTACAGCAGCTGTCTCTGCTGCGTTCACCATTACTCCTCCATACAAATAAATAGGGGTGGCCGGGTAGCCTAGTGGTTAAAGCGTTCGCTCATCACGCCGAAGACCCGGGTTTGAATCTCCACATGGGTACACTGTGTGAAGCCCATTTCTGGTGTTCCCCGCCGTGATATTACTGGAATATTTCTAAAAGCGGCGTAAAACCATACTCACTCACTCACTCACACAAATAAATGTCCCATGTCACCTGCCCAGTACATTTGTACTGACATATTTATTGATTCTGTGAGAGTACCACTCTTTTACCTACTCAAAGTCTGATTACTCTACACTCATTGAGGACTCCTGGTGTGTGAAACACAACCTGATTTTGGCAGGAAACAAGCACTCTGCTGAAATATTATCTAGTCATAGACTATCGGACTAGTGGTCATGTCTAACACTACAAATCAAACTAATAGGATGAATTGATTCACCGGGTGTTCAAATTGTCTTGACAACTTCCATTTATGAAATAGAAGATGAAATTACAGCCAGGTACTATCACACTGAAATGACTGCAGAGTAGGACCTTTACATAAACCTTCCCTCGCCACAAGTGCCATGAGACAGGAAGAGTTACCTGCCTTGAAAAGCCATGTGTGCCAGGAGACAGGAAGAGTTACCTGCCTTGAAAAGCCATGTGTGCCAAGAGACAGGAAGAGTTACCTGCCTTGAAAAGCCACAAGTGGCTGTAGATACGAATAGTTACCTGACTTGGTTAACACGGAAGCTGGCAAAACTATGATCTAATCTTTACGGTTTACCCTATTTCATGACTGCACAAGCCTTTAGCAAGCAAAATATACAAAATTCTAATGCTACAATAATTTTAAAGTCGACCAGTGAGTTTTACGCCATTGAACCTCTAAGCTACCCCAGTGCCACTTAAATCAACAAGACAAATTGAAAGTGTTTCAAACCTACAGAAATTATTTACTTATGCGCCAATCTCATTAAAATAAGATATTAGTTCTCCCTGCCGCTAAACAAAGATCTGAGGACAAACCTTTACGGGTCCCATCAGACCGAAATTTCGCGAACTTTGCCCAACCAATGGAATGACGACAAAAAGCCAATATTAGCCAATCAGAAGGCAGCTTTCTCATGCCTTCGTTTCAAACTGGCGACTACCCTTGGAAATATATTTTGACAAATCCTCGATTAAAACTTTGAAAACTGAACAAAAGAAAATTCTGGAATGGCTGATACATGGCCTAGATTGTATGGATTCAGTCATAAAGCCTGTAATTGTTGTTAGGAATACCCTGTGTCAATTTTTCGATGGTTGCATGATTCTAAAACACATTCCAACTGTCACTTTCATGATCTAATAAGCTACGCTCTGATTGGTCAGTGAAAGGTCGTGCTGACATGACCTGTAATGGGTTGTCCTCACATCTTTGTTTATCAGTAGCAAGAACTAAGATCTGATTTAAATGACTGCTCATGCGCCTATATATTGTCAGCCATTTGGCAAACACTTCTAGACCCATGTTATCTTGGTCAGATGCAATATCAATACAACACAGAGCAGTTTAGTCCTGTACAGGGCATGTCGCCATGTAACGGAAGGACACAGTAGCGTACAGTCTACACAATGTACACACAACACACATATGATATATACTGAGGGAAACAAATAAGGGAACACCACTTCATCGCATTGTTCCTTTATTTATTTCCAGATTTTCACCAACGGAGCAACTCAAAGCATGCTAAGAAACCTGGAAAAGAATACAGGAATGTGTACTTTCATGTGTTCCCTTATTTGTTTCCCTCAGTATATGATACATGTCTTGATACATTGTCAGCTGAGAACAGAACCTTGCTGGCTATTAATTAACATTAAACAGTATTCATATGTCAGCTACAAACATGGATTCAGGGTTTGGACTATTTGATGCCATTTGTATATCTTAATAACAGATAATTTCCCCTATGAAATTAAATCTAAAAATGATTCAAACAGATCCAAACTTATTGCATATCGAACTGTCAGGTAAAATATGATGGCATCCCAATGAATCATTGCATCCCATTGAATCACTGCATCCCAATGAATCACTGCATCCCATGTTCAGCATATGATTCCTCCTCTCCCTGCTGCTGCTGTTGCTGATGATGGTGCTGCTGATGCTGCTGATGGTGCTGGTGCTGCTGATGGTGCTGGTGCTGGTGGTGCTGATGGTGCTGCTGCTGCTGCTAGCTCTGCTCCCCCTCACTCTCCTCATACAGAGGCTCCAGTGGGTCCCCAGTGATCAGAAGTCCTCTCTCGTACAGGTCCCGGGCAATGTCAATCTGGAAGTTAACACAGACTAATGTAAGTAACGCCAGAGATACCTCCTGAAGCGGTTGGTACCTGACATGTCCTGAAAGAGGAGAGCGGCTGTGCATGTGGATATTGATAGAAACATCAACCAGCCTACAAGGACCCAGCTGATACAAAGTAATAAACTGTTTGATGAGTTTGAAGCTGAAGCAAGGTGAGGTGAGGTGAGGTGAGGTGAGGTGAGGTGAGGTGAGGTGAAATCGGGTTTAAAGTCACATTCAACGTTGCGTAGCACTTATATGTAGAAAATGTAGGCCTAAACCCATGGATTTCATTAAGAATAAATCATATCACTGAACATGTGAAACACCATTTACAAACTGGTTTCAAACTACAAAATCAATCCAATTCAAACCGCCACTTGGCACACATAGTGAACTCCAACAAAACAGAAGTGAACCTACTTTTCTATGTTTACCGCTTCCTGGAAAGTGAGTTGTTTAGTAAAGGATAAACACTGACTCCGACGTCTTGACTGAGAATGTAAGCCCGGGGCAGAGGGATATTGGGGAGGCCCGAAGGCCGAAGGCCCGAACCAATATCCCGATGCCCTTGGATTACATTTTTAGTCAAGGCTGAGGAAGAGGCTTGTATTGAACTTCTACCCGTCAAAATGAAAGAAATACTAGAAAAAATAGGAGGAATTCTGGGAATGCCTGGGGTTTCCTGGTCAATGACTACATTCACAGTTTATCAACATGTTAAAGAACCTACTCACACAGTAGAGTTACGTCACAAAAGGTTTATATATAAGCTTACCCGGTCCTGCAGATTGTCGAGCGGGAGACTGTCGATGGAGATATATTCGGGATACGCATGGATGAGGTATTCCACCGCTGGAGCAGCCTAACAATGGAAGAAAATATCATAAAAATATGGATACAAAATGGTTATTATTAATTTTACAGTACTCACTACCAACCATCCAAGTACTGCCCACATTCAAACATCCAAGTACTGCCCACATTCAACCATTCTAGTACTGCCCACATTCAACCATCCAAGTACCGCCCACATTCAACCGTCCAAGTACCGCCAACATTCAACCATCCAAGTAATGCCAACATTCAAACAGCCAAGTACTGCCCACATTCAACCATCCAAGTACCGCCAACATTCAACCATCCAAGTACTGTCCACATTCAACCATCCAAGTACTGTCCACATTCAACCATCCAAGTACCGCCAACATTCAACCATCCAAGTACTGTTCACATTCAACCATCCAAGTACTGTCCACATTCAACCATCCAAGTACTGTTCACATTCAACCATCCAAGTACCGCAAACATTCAACCATTCTAGTACTGCCAACATTCAACCATCCAAGTACTGTCCACATTCAACCATCCAAGTACTGTTCACATTCAACCAGCCAAGTACCGCAAACATTCAACCATCCAAGTACCGCCAACATTCAACCATCCAAGTACTGTCCACATTCAACCATCCAAGTACTGCCCACATTCAACCATCCAAGTACTGTTCACATTCAACCATCCAAGTACCGCAAACATTCAACCATCCAAGTAATGCCAACATTCAAACACCCAAGTACCACCCACATTCAACCATCCAAGTACTGTCCACATTCAACCATCCAAGTACTGCCCACATTCAACCATTCTAGTACTGCCAACATTCAACCATCCAAGTACCGCCAACATTCAACCATTCTAGTACTGCCCACATTCAACCATTATAGTACTGCCAACATTCAACCATCCAAGTACCGCCAACATTCAACCATTCGAGTACTGCCCACATTCAACCATTCTAGTACTGCCAACATTCAACCATTCTAGTACTGCCAACATTCAACCATTCTAGTACCGCCAACATTCAACCATTATAGTACTGCCATCATTCAACCATTCTAGTACTGCCAACATTCAACCATCCAAGTACCACCAACATTCAACCATCCAAGTACTGCCCACATTCAACCATTCTAGTACTGCCAACATTCAACCATCCAAGTACTGCCAACATTCAACCATTCTAGTACTGCCCACATTCAACCATTCTAGTACTGCCAACATTCAACCATCCAAGTACCGCCAACATTCAACCATCCAAGTACTGCCCACATTCAACCATTCTAGTACTGCCAACATTCAACCATCCAAGTACCGCCAACATTCAACCATCCAAGTACTACCCATATTCAACTTCATTTACATTACCTCTGCAAGTATCTCTATGAACTGTGGTTCGTTTCCATGGTAAACACGGCTGTTCTCAAGGCAGTGGTAGATTCGAACCTGGTCCTCTTCCGTCACCAGTCTGCAATTTAAAACAAGAGTCATCAGAAGATGACAAATTTCCCCCACCCCCAAAAATTTGAAAGAACAAATCATTTGACTGTTACTTTAAGTCCAACTTCGATGTAATCTATCTGTCTGTATACAAGACCTTTTCAGCTATCAAGACAATACCATGGAATTGGGATTCAAAACTTTGTATTTCTATGTCAGGTTTACAAACCAAAATGAACTTGTTGGCATGGAAATGGAAAAATAATATATAAATTCTAAAAATCCCTAAATAGCAAAAGGCACTGGTTGACAACCTGGTCTTTGTGTGTGCAGTTTCATGAAAGAAAACCTGTTACTTTCAGTGAGTGAATGAGTGAGTTGGGTTCAAGGCTGCTTTTAACAGTATTCCAGTTACATCACGGTGTGTCAGCTTAATGTGGGAGGAAAGCCCAAAGTTATGCAGGTCTCAGACGTTTACCACTTCGGTGAAACCCGCGAGCATGGGTAAGGTGCTGACAAACCTAGAAACATAATCGGGGCGAACCGGGATTCGAACCCACAATCATATGTTTCTGGTGTGCCCAAGGGACGCAACTCTGCACAGCGAATCACGGCACCTTAGACAACTGGGCCACCCTTGCCCCCTTAAATCTGCTGTAATTATTTTACATCTGTGAATGAAGCCTGACCTGATGACGCCTCTGCGGATGATCTTGATGTGTGTATCGGGGTCGAGCTCCACCGTACACACGACACGCTGCTGCCCCTTGTCCCATCTCTCCCCCGTCCCATGGATGCTGCACGCCTTCTCCTCTAGCAACAGAACACATTCGTGTCAGAACATTTTTTTAAAGTATTTTTTAAAATTATTTATTTCCCCTATACATGTACACATGCAGCAATAAGCAAGAGTCGTATGCATCACAGAGTGTTCATACCACCATAAACATTTTCATTTTGATAAGAGACCAACGTACCAATAATGTTTCTATACACATACAAGATTATCAGAATGTTCACGTCACAACATGGTGACAAGTTGTCAGGATTTAATCAAGCAAAGTCTCAGGTGTTTACAAGTAAGTAGTTTCACAAAAGCTTCAACCATTAGTCCGACTGAGATAATGTGTCTCATGGGCCAGTAAAATCTGTGTGGTAGGATAGCTTTGGGCTTGTAGTACTACAAGTGTTATAGCACCACTGTAATGGTAAGCAAGACTAGCTTTATTACAGGCGACAGTCAGGGTCCAGACTTGATTATCTACACAAAGCCATCATATAGCTGGAATATTGCGGAGTGCCACTTAAACAACAACAAAACAAACAAAAAATAGGTCTTCAGCAACCTATGCTTGCTGTAAAAAGTGACTTTGCTTGTCATAAGAGGCGACAAGCGGGATCGGGTCGTCATGCTCGCTGACTTGGTTGATGCATGCCATCGTATCCCAATTACGTGGATCGATGCTCATGTCACTGGGTTGTCCAGACTCGATTATTTACACACCGCCGTCATAACGCTGGAATATTGCTGAGTGCGACTTAAACAACAACAACAAAACAAACAAAAAATATTACAGGCTCTTGAAACACATTGAACCCAGAAGAGATAAACCATTGTTAGAATTAGGCTACAGGCAAAAGTCCAACAATTTGCCATCGCTCCATAGCATTCATAGTGATCTAACTGTTGTAATTATGGTAGTTACGATCGTCTTAGCATAACAATTGCTTTGTCAAATGGTGCCGTCTCAAATCTGAGATATGGTCTCCAATGGTGATGTTCCGTTACAATCCACACTATGGAGCAGTTGTTATCCCAAAGTCACTTGTCTGATGGTTGGTGGGGAAATATTTGGTTTTGGAATCTCTACATGGATTAGCAAACCTTCTGACAGCAGAGGGGGCAGGGCGTCATGGATGGCCTTCTTCCCCATCTGATCGCAGGAGGCGTCGACGGGGGCGTACTTGAACATGGACATCATCAGCTGCTCCATCTTCTTCAGGAAGTCCTTCCTCTCGGGACTCTCCTGGTGAGAGGCAATAATCATCACATCATCACTGATATCGTGCCAAGAATACTACTACGAAACAAAGTAGTCCTTCCTCTCGGGACTCTCCTGGTGACGATGCAATAATCATCACATCATCACTGATATTGTGCCAAGAATACTACTGCGTATCAAATTTAACGACCTGAAATTTCAGCCCGTGATCACTACGTCATAGGGTATTGAGACGTGATTGTAAACTTTGTTGTGCAGGGACCTTTTCCACAAGGCGACCGTAGCGCCACGACAGTCGTAAGTCTATGTTAAAGTATGGGAGTTACGATTACTTAAGCACTATGATAGCTTAGTGGTACGGACCACTGAATTCCTAAGGCAGGCAGTTGTGTGGTATTAAATAATACATGTCGTTAACTTTTGACGCGTTTGAATTATTATTCATTAAAACTCAATCAGATTATGCTGTGATTGCATAGATGCCTGCCTATTCACACACAACAGTGAAATTAAAAAAAGAAGAAGTTATAAATGGCAAGTAAAAAAACAAATACTAAACTCCCTTGTAATACTAAATTTATGAAACGAGCCAACAGTTCTGGTATCTGACAAGCGAAAGTATCTTGGGATCCTTGATATTTTTAATTATCCCATGACAAGAACCTATGATGTTCACACTGAATTTCGAACACTGTACGTTTTCACATATACTCTGAGTTTGAGGGGTGGTTTAATAACTCGTCAACAGATAATTACTCACCTTATCAGAGTTGGCCACGCCCATATAGCTGAGGTATTCCCTTGGCAGTCCCTTCCTAAACTCTACATTATCTTCAATCGCCATCTGGAGTGCCTGTGGCATCAGCTGCAATCAAAGATGATGATGGTGGTGAAATGGGGTTTAATGTCGCGTCAAAAATTATTGCACTTATATAGCGACGTGCATGTACATGTGTGTGTTTGTGTGGCTGCTTGTACTAGTCCGGACTGATGCCGATTTATAGTGCTAGCTCACTGAGATACCATGTTACAGTTTAACATGAATACCCCACTCAGGCACATTATACTGACTCCGAGCCGACCAGTCCTTGTTTTAGCCCCTTAATGCCGAGAACCAGACAGGGTAACAACTAGTACCATCTTTTAACGTCTTTTGGTATGACGCGGCCGGGGATCGAACCGTGGACCTTCCGCTCTCCGGGCGGACGCTCTACCATTTGACCACGGAGGTGGTTGCAATCAAAGACATGGAATTCATGACAGGGTCTCGTACCTCAGTCTTGAATAGACTGCTGAGCAAAGTGTTTTCAACTCTTAGTATTAGTTAATGTAATCCTGTTATTACGGAGCTAACAGTCCACCGTCTGGGGTAACCATTGTGAACACCAAATTACTCATCATTGGCTTAACAGAAGATTGTGCTTGTCGCAAGAAGCAACAAACTGGATCGGGTAGTCAGACTTGCTGACTTGATTCATGCATGTCATCGATCCCAATTGCGTAGATCGATGCTCATGATGTCAATCACTGGATTGTCTCGTCCAGAGATGATTATTTACAGGCCGCCATCTCTGGAATATTGCTGAGTGCAGCGTTAAACAACACACAAACAAACTAAACATTATTGGCTTTTTGTCCGGGTGATGACACACATCCACAAGTGGGCTTCACTGTACCAGTACTGAACACACAATCTGCAGCTGTGTTTTTCTGAAGAATGCAAACATTTAGTAGCACCCACCCACTACACACACAACCATGACCCCCCACTACAAGTGTGTCACACAAACCTTCTCCATGAGGTCCCCCCACGTGTTCTTCTGGTAGCTTGACACAGTGATATGCAGGGAGTGCTCGTCGTCCGTGGTGCGGCCCTGAAACAAGGGCAAGGTCACATCACAACAGCATTAACCTAGTCACATACTACTTGAGGAGGATGTTGGTTTTCTACATTGAAAAACAAAGGAATCGCCTAAAGGGAGTGAGATTTGGGTGTAATGCCGTTTTGAATAGTATGTCACTTATTTACTACTCAAAAGAAGTTAAGGACCAGCCAATTCTTTCGCATAGTAGTCATGTATCAGGCCAGGTCTATTCCCCTCCCTTTGCCCTTGACCCACCTGGTGTATGCTGCCCCTGTCTTACCTGTTGTATGGTGCCCCTGACCCACCTGATGTATGGTGCCCCTGACCCACCTGATGTATGGTGCCCCTGTCTTACCTGGTGTATGGTGCCCCTGACCCACCTGATGTATGGTGCCCCTGACCCACCTGGTGTATGGTGCCCCTGACCCACCTGATGTATGGTGCCCCTGTCTTACCTGGTGCATGGTGCCCCTGACCCACCTGGTGTATGGTGCCCCTGACCCACCTGATGTATGGTGCCCCTGACCCACCTGATGTATGGTGCCCCTGACCCACCTGATGTATGGTGCCCCTGACCCACCTGGTGTATGGTGCCCCTGACCCACCTGATGTATGGTGCCCCTGACCCACCTGATGTATGGTGCCCCTGAACCACCTGGTGTATGGTGCCCCTGACTCACCTGATATATGGTGCCCCTGACCCACCTGATGTATGGTGCCCCTGACCCACCTGATGTATGGTGCCCCTGACTCACCTGGTGTATGGTGCCCCTGAACCACCTGGTGTATGGTGCCCCTGTCTTACCTGGTGTATGGTGCCCCTGACCCACCTGATGTATGGTGCCCCTGTCTTACCTGGTGTATGGTGCCCCTGTCTTACCTGGTGTATGGTGCCCCTGACCCACCTGGTGTATGGTGCCCCTGACCCACCTGGTGTATGGTGCCCCTGACCCACCTGATGTATGGTGCCCCTGTCTTACCTGGTGTATGGTGCCCCTGACCCACATGGTGCATGGTGCCCCTGACCCACTTGGTGTATGGTGCCCCTGACCCACATGGTGCATGGTGCCCCTGACCCACCTGGTGTATGGTGCCCCTGACCCACATGGTGCATGGTGCCCCTGACCCACCTGGTGTATGGTGCCCCTGACCCACCTGATGTATGGTGCCTCTGACTCACCTGATGTATGGTGCCCCTGACTTACCTGGTGTATGGTGCCCCTGACCCACATGGTGCATGGTGCCCCTGACCCACCTGATGTATGGTGCCCCTGACCCACCTGGTGTATGGTGCCCCTGACCCACCTGATGTATGGTGCCCCTGACCCACCTGGTGTATGGTGCCCCTGACCCACCTGGTGTATGGTGCCCCTGACCCACCTGGTGTATGGTGCCCCTGACCTACCTGGTGTATAGTGCCCCTGACCCACCTGATGTATGGTGCCCCTGACCCACCTGGTGTATGGTGCCCCTGACTCACCTGGTGTATGGTGCCCCTGGGGAAGTACAGCATGTCCCCCGCCTCCAGCAACACGTCCAGGATGGGCTCCCCTACATCCTCCTCCTTCAGATTGACTGCAAGCAGCAGACACAGCATCAGTACAGGACATCATGTTAAGAGTCCAATTGCACAACACGACCATCGTAAGTCTATGTTAAAGTATGGAAGTTAAGATCATCTTAGTGCTACGACCATCGTAAATCTATGTTAAACTATGGAGTTAAGGTCATCTTAGTGCTACGACCATCGTAAGTCTATGTAAAAGTATGGAGTTAAGGTCATCTTAGTGCTACGACCATCTTAAGTCTATGTTAAACTATGGAGTTCAGATCATCTTAGTGCTACGACCATCGTAAATCTATGTTAAACTATGGAGTTAAGGTCATCTTAGTGCTACGACCATCGTAAGTCTATGTTAAAGTATGGAGTTCAGATCATCTTAGTGCTACGACCATCGTAAGTCCATGCTAAAGTATGGGAGTTAGGATTGACGTAGCACTAAGATTGTTTGTGGACCCAGCTCAGAAACGAACAAATTATGAGACAAGTAAACAAGACAAGGTTTCTCATTCTCATCTGATACACTGAAAGACATGGCAGCCATTGTGACATCTTATTGTCATCTATGACAACTAATACAACAAGGAATGCAGCACCCTCTCACCCAGACAACAAGTTGGTAGCATAGCCTAAATCATTATCTTTAAATTTGTCACAAGTCTTGGGACTCATTTACTATATGTGTTTAGCTCTGGGGTGGCCATCTATATAGGATAGAACTGTATGTTGGAATTCAGAGGTTTACCATATATCATAGTCTTTGGTCATAAGGGGTTGTGCAATATTTAAATACAGTTATTGTTACCCTGTATACATACAAATATCTCTATGATCTCTATTCTTTGTTGTTGTCCTAAGCAAAGATCATCAAAGGAATTTAGTATGGTCTAGCATATCCAGGGGTAATCGAGTTGGTACAATTTTCATTCTTCTAAGACACATAAGTCGACAATGAGATTAGACCAGTAAAGGCCAGGGTAGAATAGGTCTTCAACAACCCATGCTTGTCGTAAGAGGTGACTAATAGGATCGGTTGGTCAGATTCGCTGACTTGGTTGTTGCATGTCATCGTATCCCAATTGCGTGGATTGATGCTCATCATGTCAATCACTGGATTGTCTGGTCTAGACTCAACTACTTACAGACTGCTGCCATATAGCTGGAATATTGCTGAGTGCGGCATTAAACAACAAACAAACCACAAACAAAAGACAATGAGATTGTATTATCATTTTGAACTTAATTAAAATTCTACTTAAAACCAGCTTGAGTAGATACTATAACTTACAACTTGAAAGCCTTGGCAGCACTTCTGACTTGTTTCTGAAAGAGAAAATTTAATAAACTTAATGCTACATGTTAGGAACTATTACCATGACGATAACTGAAGTTACCTACTGATTTCATGAATAGATTCTTCACATGAAGAGGACCTTACAGACACTGGTTTCTACTGTGAATTACTGTAAGATTAAATGCCAGTGTCTAACAGCTGAGTTACCATGACTCATGAGTCATCAGTATTCTACCAGCTGTGTAACCATGGTGTCCTGGAACTGGTGAGTTGCCAGTGTTTCTACCATCTGAGTAGCCATGGTTATCTTGGACTGGTAAATCGCCAGTATTTCCCAGAATAATGTAGGACATTCCCCAATAATTTCCCCACAATTCTGTCTCAGCAAACAAGCACCTTCGCCAGTATTTCTACCATCTGAGTAACCATGGTTACCTGGGACTGTAGCTGCCAGTGTTTCTACCACAAGAGTTGTCATGGTAACCTGGAACTGGTGAGTTGCGAGTGTTTCTAGCCTCTGAGTTACATTACCACCTGAGTTGCCGTGGTTACCTGGGACTGTAGAGCCGCCAGTGTTTCTTCCCCTCCAGCTGCAGAATAAAGGCTTCTATATCATCGTAGTGAGGAGCAAAGCCCTGTGTCCCTGGGGGGGTCAGATACCTGCATCAAAGCAAGCAGTTTTTTATTATTGCAAAAAAACAATCAAGATGTGAATGTGTTCTCCATTCAAGAAGTCCTTGCCTGAACTAGTCTAACATTAACATCGCCCAAAGTTCAGTCCGTGTACAATATGGTTACCATAGAAACAGTGCCTGCTGAAGACATAATGTACCTTGGTGCAAAACAACCTAAGCACCATGACTGTCGTCAGTCTGTGTTAAGGTATGGGAGTTATGACCACCTTAGTGCTAAGATTGCTTTGTACAATGGCACCCTGATCTATGTCCTGCTAAGTCCATGCAGGATATCTGTTTGTATTGTAAGTGCATGTGTGTGATGTTGCGTAGTAGAAGTTTCATAATGTGAGCAGAAAATTCTGTCTCAATAATGGGGTCATGCGAGAAGTCCAAGTTTGCTTTGGTCACCATGGCAATGAAACATTATAGGGTATGGTTGGCAAGGCAGAAATAAAACCAAGATCATCAACCGTGGCAAGTGACACTAAAAAGTTGGTCAACAATTGCCCCGTGCCCTTCAGATATGTTCTTCACCCCTGAGATCGTAGCCATAGATCAGGCATCTTCTTGAGGTAAGAGAGTTAACTGGCTTTAAAAGTCCAGTTTCCACCCTTGCCGAACTAGGCTGGAATTCCTGGGCTCGATCAGAGCGCCGCCAGTGGCTATTACGAGTTATGTCCCGTCTATGCCTCTCCTATGGACCAATCAGATTCCACATCTCGTATCACTTGCATTTGTTTCAAACAAAACGGCGGCGCCCAGTCAAGACAATCTGATTGATAATCAAGATCTATATTGTGATAAAACGAGTCTTACATCGCAAAATGCATCAAATCACGTGAGCACCTTGATTAAAAACATGAAAAGATTTCGAAAATATATGTTGACAACGAGTTAGCAGTGCACATGCTTTGCAAATCCTGCAATCGACCGAAATCTGCTTGTCAGTATACGAACCGGATTTTGATTTCGGTGCGCGATTTTGATTGGACTATGCATAGACTCGTCAGTCCAGCCAAAATGTAACTCCATAATACCAGCCTAGTTCGGCAAGGGTGGTAACTGGACTTTTATAGTCAGTTAACTCCCTTGCCTCGGGAAGATGTAGATCAGGTAGAAGACAGTCCACCACACCAGCTCTCTCATCTAACACTTGACTGAATCAATACTCACACATTAGCCCCCACACAGCAACCGAAGTACTCCTGCAATATGGCCAGGAGTTTCCACACATTCCGGGAATAGGACTGGGGATTTAGCAGCCTCACGGAACAGCCATTCTGCAATACAAGTGAGAAAGTCAATACGGATTTACGCCATTTTTAGCAATATCATGACGGGGGACACCAGAAATGGGCTTCACACATCGTACCCATGTCAGGAATTGAACCCGGTTCTTTGGTGTGACGAGCAAATGCTTTAACCACTAGGATAAGCGCCCACCCCTGTGCAACAGCTGGTTAGTTATCACAAACACTGTATCACCTTCAAATGACAATTCAAACATACATTGTCATAATGATATAGATACATGGTCTAACAGGATTGGGTGGTGAGGCTCGCTGACTTGGTTGATGCATGTCATTGTATCCCAACTGCGTAGATCGATGCTCATGATGTCAATCACTGGATTGTTGGGCCATACTGGATAATTTACAGACTGCCATCATACAGCTGTAATAATGGTTAGTGTGGCGTCAAAAAAACAAACAAACAATATGAGAGCATCACTCACCTGGTAGTAGTCCCACACAACCGGGGCGTACGCTCGTCCAGCAATGTTGTGTGTTTCTCGTACCCCTTTCTCAAAAGTTGTCACATCTAGATTCACACCAAACTGGATATTTTCCTGCAGAATAGAAAAAGTTTACTTGGATTTTGAAAAGAATATTTACAGGAGTGACAAATTCAAGTGTATGCCTTCAAACTAGGCTCCTGATCCCCTGTCTGTACATCCCACACTACCATGCATGTGCAACATGAGGCAGTAACCGTGGCCAATCTCTTCATTTTTCACAGGACACTGATGCTACATCCCTAACAACAACCATCTTTACGAGGCAAGGGCGTCAACTGACTGAAAAGTCAAGTTTCCACCCTTGACGAACTAGGTTGGAATTATGGAGCTATATTTCAGCTGACTGAGTCAATGCATAGTGTACCGCCAACTGGGCGTCGATAGATATTTTCCTAGCCTTTTCATGTTTATATTCAAGGTGCTCACGTGATCTGATGCACTTCACAAGGTAAGACCTGTTTTATTACAATATAGATCTTGATCATCGATCAGATTGTCTTGACTGGGCAACGCCATTTTGTTTGAAGAAAATGCAAGTGACATGAGAGGTGGAATCTGATTGAGCAAAATGGCAGAATTATACCCCCATGGAAAGTGTGGCAAATTCTAAGTTGTCTGCATGTTTAAATTCACAAGAATTTCTAAAAAATATTGCACTGTTACCAGACAAACTGACTGACCTCACGTAGTATCCTGTCAAGTTCGGACGTGGTGAACCAGCCGTCATTATAATGTGGAATGTGGCGCTTCACCAGCAACGGCTTCCTCTCCCACAACTCACTGCAGGATAGAACGGTGTGAAGGACATGATACAAGAGTAGGAAGGTATGCAATCTTTGTGTTGATGTTTACTGGGAACAGTAAACAGAGCATGCGTGAAACATTTGGCTACAACATGTAAGCTCTGCAAGAAACAAGACAGAATCACATCTGTCTATCACGGCCAAAACCTGAATGAGTGAGTGAATGATTGTTGCTGAAGTGAGTTAGGTGGGTTAAGATTTTAACCTTGAACAGCAAACTTTCATATAAATAGTGACAGATGTTGTTTAAGCAACATTTCAGCTTTATAACCAAGTTTGTGACGGACAAGTGAGTGAGTTGGGTTTAACGCTGCTTTCAACAGTATTCCAGTTATATCTCGGAGTGTCAGCTTAATGTGGGTGGAAAGTCCGAAGTGATACCACTTCGGTGAAACCCACGAGCACGGGTATGGTGCTGACAAACCTAGAAATATAATCAGGGCGAACCGGGATTCGAACCCACAATCATAGGTTTCTGGGTGTGCCCAAGGGACGCAACTCTGCACAACCATGTGACAAACTATTTTCACTGTTGGCTTTTAATCAATAAGGTCACAACCACCATCCATTTTCTTAATCTCTAAACAATCATGGTGACCTACCAAACAGAAAGTTAAGGATGACACAGATTGTGTATGATGACACAGCAGAACAAGCATGTCGCTTTCTGAAAGGATGAATCACACCATCCACTCAGGAGGTACACGGACACCAGGCAACACTGGAGTCCTGGAGATATATTCTGCTTCAAGTCGAGGAAAAATCTCACCTAAAGAACCTGTCTGTGGTGAGGGGATGGATGAGACATTCGAATGTTTTCTTGGCCTGCTCGCCACTGTCGTACATGTATGGCAGGCGCCGTGCTGCAGGCTCCTCGTCCTCAGTGCCGTCTGCCTCCTGCAGGGGAAGACTATCTACATCAGACGGGCCAAACAGGAATACAAAGCACCGAGCCCAAAGGTCAAGGATTGTCTACCAGGGTTTTACGCAACGCACAAATGTAGAGAACGGAAACAGTGATGCTCAATCATATTCATTGTACTTACAGCAATTCAACTAAGAGCAGTTATGGGTGTCTGTTATTTCATCCATCAATCATGACCACTGCCCGCATGATCATTGATTCATTCCAGGCTCTTAGTCTAAAGTAACAAGAGTTTGCCACTAACATGGCTATATCCCCCGCCCCTGTTGCAGAATTTATGACATAATTAAATCTAAACAAACCTTAACCTTTTTTAACCGAGGTGGAACTTGTCATGGAAATTGTAAAAAAAAAAAGAGTTTGGAACCTAAGTCCATCTTGCTGCCATGGAAACATATAAAAAAGTTTCTAAATAGCAAAAGGCACCAGTTCAGCATGTACCTGACAAACCTTCAAAGTTTGATGAAAAAATATTGAACGGTTTATCAGTTATGCTCCGGAAACGAAACAAAGCGTGACGGATGGACAGACAGACGGAGCCCGTTTCTATATCCCCCGCCAACTTTGTTGGGCGGGGGATAATTACCGGGGTATCAAAAAGTACAGTACACTACATCATTTCTTTACTTTACAAGACCCCCATATTGCCTGAAGGGACCCTTACAGTTAATTATTGGGGGTCCCCCTTGAGGCCTACTTTGTAAATCAAGGAAAAACCCTGTGTCTACCTTTAAAAGTCACCAGTTTCATTTGTTTAATTATACATTCTGGAATATAGTTCAAATTGATAAACTCATAAAATATCAGGCAAGGTGAGGGACACTGTAATTTGATAACGACCTCACGTTGCCTAACGACACTTATCAACTAAAATGAGGTTTTACTCAAAAACATCTCTGCCCCTAAATGTTTTTTAACACTAATTTGTGGTTGTTATCGCAATTGTGTTTGCAAATCCCCAAAATAATAACGGCAAATTTTAGACTGGAAAGATAATAGTTTCATGCATAAATATTCATTGGCTGTGGAGATTTGGCGGGAAACAAACACTACTTGTTTGAGGCTAAGTCCCAATTGTTTCCATGGAAACACAAGATATTTTAAAAAAATAATTGAAAAATATGAAAAGGCAATCGTTGAGTATATGACCATTGAACATGTATTGTTTCATGCAAAAATATTTATTAGTCTGAGAGTCTGAATTGTTTAAGAACCGTTTGAAAAGGAAATGTAACAAAATAAAATTTAGAAAGATTTGATGACAGCAAAAGGCACAAGTTAAGCTGATGAAGTTTTGGTGAAAAATGTTGAAAGGTTTTGAAGTTATGGTCGGACACAAACCCTGCACTTTTTTTAGACTAAGCCTAAATTGTTTCCATGGAAACGTAAAAAATTAAATTTGGATAAAATTCAAAATAGCAAAAGGCACCAGTTCAGCTGATGAGTAATGCATATGCCAAGTTTGATTGAAAAACATTGAAAGGTTTTCGAATTATGGCTCAGAATAACATAATCTGGTTGTAAAATGATGTCAGCTAAGTTGTTTACTAATCATTCTAAATAACTACTTGATTACAAATACTAAATATATATATAGGGGTTGATTAACTCCAGTGTAGAGATTTAGATCATGTAGAATGACATCCTTGCATTTCGGTAAACCAACACTAACCCCGGATACATTCCCATGGTTCTCGCAATCTCAAATTACCCGCCCTTGATTTCCAATTTGCCAATTTGATTGGCTACACTACAAGGTCTAACTTAGCAACCAGAATGGGAATTACTAACCACAAACCAGTATCAACGTTAGGTTGGCCAATCCCATTGATGATGATCGTGTTTGCAACAAATTTCAACATTGAAACACTGACTGACATGCAAGAGAAAGCCCCCCAAAATCTTTTTGATGGAAAGGATGTCTTCAGAGGTGTGTTCAGGAGGGGGAGCGACCGTGCGAGAGTACAGTGAGGCAATATCACGCCTTTCTGAACGGAAGGCGAGTACTCGCGAATTACCTCTCTGGCTCGATCGCAAGTACATGCATGCGCTCGCGCGGTTAGCCCTCCCTCCTGAACACGCCTCTGGTCTATTAAAAATGGCGGTGGCTTTGGTTTCTAGGTAATACAAGTTACCTCCCTTACCCATATGTCGCTGTTTGATTAGGTAAAATGTTAATAAAAAATCAAGGGCGGGTAATTTGCGATCACAAGAACCACGGGAATGGATCTAGGGGTTAGTGAAGTTCTAGCGAAATGTGAACCATGTAGACATAGAGGATATAAGAGAGACTGAGTTTAAATTAACATCACATCAGCAATATTTCAGCCAAAGAGTGACACAACTCACCAGAAAACGCTAAAAATGTCTTACTGGCAAAGCGGTCACTCCTGAGATTTGTGATGTGTCTGCAGAATCCAGATGACTGCTCTCCATTCTCTTTTTCTTTTTCTCCACATGTTCTGGGGAGCTCATTTTACGTTTTGTTGCCTGCTTGGCCTGAGTGTTCTGTTTGGGGGGTTTTGGGGGCAGGCTGACCCCTTTGACAGGGGAGGTAATCACAGGCTTCGGCAACTGTCCCTTGCTGTTGGTCTTACATTTACCAGCTGATGTTTTCTCTGAAACAAAACAGACAGGGTTGAAATGACGAATGAAAGAATAATCTGTAACACAGATGCCATCAATTGAATGATCAACAGTGAGTAAACGCTATTATATATCAGGGTGACATTTATTAAGTAATCTCCGGTATTTACCTAGACCTGATTAAAGGCTAATATTCAGCCCAAAGTCTGCCACAAATGTCAGTCAACACCCCCAAATTGGAATTACATAAATTCCCAATTCATGTTATGGCTGGGTGGAGAGGGAATGCATTTTACTGAAAACAGGACCAATGTCATAGGGTTTGTTTGTTATTTAACACCGCACTCAGCAATATTCCAGCTATATGACGACGGTCTATAAATAATCGAGTCTTTACGAGACAATCCAGTGATTGATATCATGAGCATCGATTCACACATTTGGAATCGATGACATGCATCAACCAAGTCAGCGAGCCTGACAATCCGATCCTGTTTGTCACCTCTTACAACAAGCATAGTCGCCTGTTACGGCAAGCATGGATTGTTGAAGACCTATTCTTCACTGGATCTTCACTGGTCCAATGTCATACGGGTTTGTTTTACATTACTGCATTGAAAATACTGTAAATCTTGAAATTAACGCAAGTTTGAATTAAATGCGAAAAATGTGTGTGGTCTTGTTCGCATAAATGAAACTTCGCATTTATGTCTACAAAATGACTTTCAACAATCACCACACTTTGGATAGCAGAAATACCAACTTGACTATATACACAAACACAGTTTATTGAGCAGCAGTTGTAACAAGTATATAACAATGCCATTTAAAGAATAAGAATTACACCATAGGCATCCGGTGAGTTATCACTGCTGGGGTCAAGAGTTCTACCAACTTTTGTCAAACTAGGCATCATTGACCTAGTTCGGCAAGGGTAAAAACAGGACTTTTACAGTCAGATAACTCCCTTGCCTCGGGAAGATGGGGTGTCTCACCAGGTGAAGATTTCTTTGTCCTGCTGCTGATGCTGCCAATGCTGTCGATACTGAGAGTGCTCCCACCTGATGCGACGGGCATGCTGTGTTTCATCGCCGTCAGTTCACAGCCATCGTTGTTGGCCACGTATGGGCTGTCGTTCAGTGGGTCCCGGAGAATGGAGGGTCTTCTCTTGCCAGCAGACCTGATACTGCCCCTCAAACTTCCACCCTTCAGGACTTTCTGGAAAGTGAATTGATGTCCGTCCATAATAATCAACCCTAAGCATGGTAAGCAGGACAGTGAATCACCCACACATGACACACTCCGGCGCAGTGGTGACTCAGCATAACACCACTGCCACAGACTAATCTGCATATCACGTGACCGGATTTTTCTCTTGTTGGAAAACAAACACGCTTTTTCAGAAATCAGAATAGAACAGACTAATGCAAGTATTTAGGGGCGCTTTACATGTTGTTTTGCAGAATTATATAAATCTGCTACTACAACTGCGACAGTGAGTTGCATGACAATACATATTTACACATCAAAGTTACCGTATCGCTAGCTCTCCGTATGGCTGCGATGACAGCACGTGGAGCTGTACAACCAATGTAAACAAAGGATAACTATGCAAATGGAAAACGCTTTTCATGATTTAGGATATTTTCTCAATGAAAGTTAACAATTATATGACATATGTTTATCTAGATATGTAGACTTGTCAAAAATGAAACAGATTAGCCAATCAGAAGGCAGCTTTCTTGTGTTTTAAGGCACTAGTTTCAAACTGGCGACTATGTCTAAAACATATTTTGACAAATGCTCAATTAAAAACTTGAAAACCGAACACTCTGGAATGGCTAATAGATGGCCTAGATTGTATGGATTTAGTCGTAAAGCATGTAACTGTCGTTCAGATTACCCTGTGTTAAATATTTTGAGGTTGCATGATTAGAAAACACATTCTGTCTGTCACTTTCCTGATCTGGTAAGCGACGCTCTGATTGGTCTAATGAAAGGTCGTTCTGAAGTGACCCTTAATGGGATGTCCTCAGATCTAAGATTCTGATTTGAATGAGATTAGGACACAACAGTGACACCTGGCCAGTTTCAGCATGAAATCACTTTATTTGTACTGTAGACAATGATCAGATAAACAGCTCGTACAACATAGCAATAAAACCAACAGATATGATGACAGATACAGAGCTACAGATAAGCAGCATATTTGCGGAAAATATCCACAAAAATATTCAAAATACTTTCAATTAACTTGCGTACAGAAACGCATGCATTAAATGAAAAACCCAAATGTATAAAAACAGCATGTGTAAATACCCAATGAAGCTTTTTCGGCATACGTACAACAGAGCTAATTTCCGAGCTATTTAAAACAGTATTTCATATTTTTTTTAAATCTTAAAATGTTCACTAATTTTGGGGAAAAACCCAATAGATGAGTTAAAAAATATTGATTACCCAATGAAAAATGTAATAACCCAATTAAAATAGAAACCCTCGAGTTAAAACTCATTAGTTCAAAAAGTTCTGGAGCTCTGCATATACATTCAAATATATACCATGAATTCAAACAATACAAATGACTAATTCTTAGTCTTACAACACAAATTCCATGGTAATAATGTAAACATTTCTTTACATACAAAGTTAGAGATTAGTAAAGTTCATGATAAGGAATTGAAACGAGCTGACATACCAGGAACTTTTTTCCCTTGGTGGCACTGTCCTTCTTCTGGTCGTCGAGGGAGACGGGTGTGCTGGCGGCTCTTCTCAGTGACATCTTCCTGTCCTCGTCACCATTCACCACGGGGCTTGGCTCCACATCCTCCAACACACTCTTCGTCTACAACAGTGAGCATGCTTAGCACAAGAGCATACAAGCCGTAGACCTTATGTTTAACATGTGATGCTCTCCTAATGTCTGGTCACGTAGACACCAAACCATAGCAAATAATGTTCCGTATTTGACGTAATAAGCGCCCCGCTCTAATAAGCGCTCACAACGATATTTACTAATATATTGGCTAGTGAACAATCTCAATTAGTACCCCTTCCGACTGATCAATGTACACAAGACTAATTTATTCGCGTATAATACGCACTAGTGTGCTATATGCACCCTTAATTATCGGCAATCAAATTCTGGATAAATATATCTGTCGTACATAAACATTTCAGACTGTCAGCATAAACCATGAAATTTATCTTTCAACTCTGTTTTTTTCACCAAAATTATATTCTAATAAGAGCCCCTTATTTCTAATTTTGAGAGTGCATTGGGTGCTTATTACGTCGAATACGGTAATAATTTCCACAGAGTAAACCAAATCATCTAATGGACAGGATGGAACTAGAAGTAGGTTGCACGTAGAAGACTATCACATAATAAAACAAACTGAGCTGTTATATATATATATATATATATCGTTAACTGATTTTTATATTACAAATATTTGTGACATACTTCTCACATTTTCACTTTTGAATATTTCCTAAGGGTAAGTGTTTCTCTGCCAAATTGTCAAGTGCAAAATGTCTCCAAAACTTCAAAAATATAATTTTTTTAACATCCATGCAGAATTTAAACTTTAAAAAATGAACTCATGGGTGGGCGTAACACGTATCATAGTCGCAGGTGTAATTTGATATACAACTAGTCTGCAACCTTATTCACTAGTCCACAGTTTAGTAAACTTCTTTTTGTTCTAGGAATAACATTTGAATAACATGTAAATAAAAAACCATAAAATAACACTACAAATGAAGCCAATTTCAGGCTAGTAGGTTCAAACATTTTTGGCATAGTCTGCAACTACATATGCTGCAGGTTTAAATAAAGAAACGTTGCCATGGTCATGATGTTCACTGGCTCAGTTTCAGTACCTTTACAAAATTGGTACATGTTTAGTATGCTAAGCCTAAACAGCTGCTAAACGTGCTCAATTTTGTATGGCAATTTATCTCTCACCCATGAAGAGATAACCCGTTCAATAAAAATACAGGTTTATTAAACAGTGTTAAGTGACATCATGTGCGAACAGGACTGTTTTTGAACACCTGATTGGTTTGGTACTTTCATGACTTTAGCAGGGTTTCCACGAATGAACATGCAAATGTGTTTTGGCGCTGTTCTCAACATAAATCTTGCTGGTTGGCATCAAAACTACAATAATAATTGAAAGTTTGAAACCGATTAACAAAATATGAATATTTGTCAAATTAGAGTGTTCACACTATTTTACATGTTTACTCTTCCTCATGACATGTGCACCAAAATATTGAATGATGTTGGACTGTTCTCAATCTCATTAAAATCAGATCTTAGTTCTCGCTACCGCTAAACAAAGATCTGAGGACATCCCATTACGGGTCACGTCAGAACGACCTTGGGAGAACTTTGACCAACCAATGGAATGACCAATCAGAAGGCAGCTTTCTCGTGCGTTACAGCACTTATTTCAAATTGGCGACTAAACATATTTTGACGGATTCTTGATTACCAATTTTAAACCTGAACAAAAGAACATTCTGTAATGGCTCATAGATGGTCTAGATTGTATGGATTCAGTCGTTAAACCCGTAACTATCGTTCGGAATACACCATGTTTAAGTTTTCGAGGATGCCTGAGTAGAATTCACATTGATATATTCTGACTGTCACTTTCATAATCTGGTTAGCGATGCTCTGATTGGTCGGACGATAGGTCGTTCTGACGTGACCCCTAATGGGATGTCCTTAGATCTTTGTTCAGCGGTAGCGAGAACTAAGGTCTGATTTTAATGAGATTGGACTGTTCTAAAAAGTATACATGCAGTACTTCACATGAACACAATGTTGGACATGTGCACTGTCAAGTCGGAAGCTGGGATTATGTCACACCTCACAGTATAAAGTGATAAATCACTATCAATATAGCTGTTCGAAAATAGGGTACTCAAGAATGTATTTACAGAAATCAAGTTCCTTTAATGCAACATCTTGACAGTGTCAGATTTCAATGCTTCCCCATTCATTGTAAAGTGCAGAATCTGATATTCTTTGCTTGGAAATTAAATTCTTCATTTGCCTCATAGTCTAAAACATGTACAATACATACACACACAAGTTTAGATGTAAACATGTCAATTGTCATCAGCGGCCATGGAAAATTACAAGATCGCGATTTTTGCTATAAAATGCAGAAATCTTACCTTTTTTCCTTTCGCATGAAACATGGAAAATGCAGACACTTTCTTCATGGTTTATGTTTTATGTCTTCCGTGGGAGAACTGTTACACCGCCGTTATCGATTTTCAGTCATCGCCATCGGCGAGGGAAATTTCAAATATTTTTTTACCTCGCCTCGCTCAGCAAAGTTGACTCACTACTCCTCGACGGTTTTCAAATTTACCACAACTTTCACCTTCCGCGGAATGCAAAAAATCTGTGTTAGAAAAAAATAATGTTTGGCCTCTATTGTTTGCTACTTTTGCTAGCAATCTACCGTTAAAATTGTCAACAGGTGCGTAAGTTGACCTCAGACACCACATGGATGAACGTCCCCTGACCCGGAAACGCTTTAACCGGAAGACGTAAAGCAGTAAATATTGAACTCGTAAATGAAATATGCATTGCCCTTTACCTGTTATTAACTTTATCCTAGTTATCAAACCACTCTAATGTTATAAAGGGCATATATTTGATATTACTATAAAAATCCGTTCAGGATTTAAGGACGACCCCCCATACAGTCGATGATGTTTCGAGTTGTCGGTGCATTCCAAGTTTTTAAATAACCTGAGAATTCCAAAATGGCCGTCTTCCAAACTATAACAACATAGTTTACGTTCTGGATATACTCACAGTTTCATGATGATCAAGTTCTAATTAATGAAATATTACACGAAGAGGAACAGCAACAGTACATCGTCATTCTAGTGTAGCAGGACAGGAATCTAATTCAAACAACGTGCAGATATCTACGGATAGATGTGCCATTGCTATGGAAATTAGGTAAACAATGTCCCCATTGACTGTTGACTTTTGGAATTTTCAACATTATATAATGAAAACAAGTACTTTAAAAATGAAAGATAGCATTAAATTTGATTCAAATGACCAAACTAGAAAAATGGAGAGAAAGGCCTTAGACTGACAGATAGGGCTTATAACGTGCAGGATTTAGTCATTATAGAGACAATGGCCTCAGTTTTGTTTCTTCAAAATGCTTGGTCCATTTTATCCAAATTGTTTGGCTCCATTATTGCAAAAGAACATTTCCTCCTGCACCTAGTGAATAGGGCCCAGAAATTGTGAAGGAAAAGACGGGGTGGTAAAGGGGCATTTTGAAATTTTGAAGTAAAAAACAGGTAAAGGGGGTTGGATTTGCTCAAATAAATCGCACTACAGTAAGTTTATTCATTATTGCAAATGAATATTCATAGAATATTTCCTTACGCAATCAAAGAGATCCCTTGAGCCGTTGAATTCAGGTTCCAATTCATCAAAGAGATCTGCTGATCCTTCTGGGCCTGAACAAAATCTTTTTTCGGATTTTATATTATTTGGTCAGTAAACACAGCTGATGAACTTAAAGGGGCACTGATCTAAAGCAATTCCTTGGGACTAGACTAGTTCGCAACCTGTGCTGCACCATTCGTAAGCCCATTTGTCACATTGATAGTATAAGGGTGTATGGTCACATTGATCAACATAATGAAATACAATTTTGGAAATAATAAGGAAATGTAGGTATCTTTGTGGGTAGCATCAGTAATGCTGACGAAGTTTTGATAAGTCACTTGCTTGGTAATTGTGTGATTTTTATTTACACTATTTTGACTTGCAACACAAAGTAAATATTTCACCTAAGCATTGCTTATTTTTATCGTGTGTTTATTTTTACAGTCAAAATGTGTAAAATTTTCACTTAGGATATTTATCATATGCCTAAATGTTCCGTTTTTCTACAAATTGACTGAAAAATATGTCAATCTGTATTATTATGCTGGGCTGCCACATGTATATTACATAACACACATTTCACCTCACCTCTAACCTGCATTTAGATTGAATAATTACCCCAGACACAGGAAATGCCAAATTGGAACCTTTATTAGGTAATCTGAGTGGTGCTACAACTAATTTATTATACCTGTAATAAATTAATTAACTGAGCATCAAGTGAATGATGACAAATACACAAGTGTAGGGTTATACTAGAAAACATGGATTGCAACAAGGGAGTAGTAATCGTATTATCCATGCAATCCGAGATCCGAAAATGTTTTCACTGCAGGTTTTTTTTATTATTATTAAACTATAACCATCAGGGGTATCTCCAAATAATGACATCTGATGAGCTTCCGCCGTTCTTTATGTCTTTTTGTTAAGGCTAAAGAAATTAATTAACATGCCTTAGTCGAAATCTTCATAGATCACGTGTAACCAATCAGTGTTCAAAAATGCATAAAACAAATATTGTCTCCAAGTTTGTGTAGCTGTCCTTGCAGACGGTAGCCCAGTCTCTTGCCACGCTCAGTTGCGTTTGGCGACTCATGGCAGCTAGTGAGCCCTAGCAGGCAGTGTCAGACAGCCGAGAAGACGCCAGAGATTAGTGACACTTTAAGAAACTGAATAAAAGGATAAACTGAACAACTGTAATATTTTCTTTTGATAATGTACTCAACACAACTATTATACATTCCTTTATTTGTTCCATACGTGGGCAAAGATGCCTTCACTGCTCTCCAAGTTGATTCTATTTTATTTTGTACATGCCCCTGTTTCTGAATTTACAAATTCTACGCTGTGGTTAACTTTCTTATGAATGTACCCCACCCCCTACCAATGATTCCAAACAGTCATAAGCCTTCCAACAGTCCGATGAATGATTATCCCGGTTTAATCCATCTTTTAATATTTGGGATCAATGTTTCGCAATTTTGTTTCTCAACAGCAGAATCTTTTTCAATCCCACCATGCACCCAAACACTCTTCTCACATGCCTCCCTGTGTGAAACTTCTTTTCCCCAAATTTGGACTCTTCTTTTACCTCAGGTCCCCCGATAGCCCATCTTCCAGAGGCAAGAGAGTTGATTGACTTTAAAAGTCCAGTTTGAACCCTTGCCGAACTAGGCTGGTACTACTAGGCTCGATGGTAGCGCCACCAGTGGCTGTTATGAGTTATGTCCCTTCTAAGCCTCCCCTATGGACCAATCAGATTCAACCTCTCATATCACTTGCGTTTGCTTCACACAAAATGGCGGCGCCCATTCAGGACGATCTGATCGATAATCAAGATCTATATTGTGTCTTACATCGCGAAATGCATCTAATCACGTGAGCACCTTGATTAAAAACATGAAAAGATTTGGAAAATATCTGCTAACAATGAGTTGGCCGTGCACATGCTTTGCAAATCCTGCAATCGACTGAAATCTGCATGGCATTTTACGGATCAGATTTCGATTTCGTTGCACAATTATGATTAGACTATACATAGACTCGTTTGTCCAGCCAAAATGTAACTCCATAATACCAGCCTAGTTTGGCAAGGGTGACAACTGAACTTTTATAGTCAGTCAACTCTCTTGCCTCGGGAAGATGCCAATAGCCTCATTCTCTCTTTCCAAAATTTCCAAACAAACCTCCATGCCAAAATTGTATCAATCAACCAAAGTGTGATCAGAACCAAGTTTCAATTGAACTTTAACCAAATTCTCTCCTGTAACCCAATAAAAAGTAATTTTCAAAATGTCAGGAATGGACAAATTAGAACTGTAAACCCAGGAAGAATGCTTCACTGAAATCTTACGATGACACCGCTTGTTGCTACACCTCCACACATACCCCTCACTCCTACTGCTGTCCCTCCTCCTGTTCATCAAGCCATTCCCACACTTACAGCAAGGCCCTCGACTGTCCTATCACACCTACATCCTCTAACCAGTCCAACAGTCTCCCCTTATCCCTGCACAGTTCATACAAATCATCATACACAATCCTACTGTCAGACATTCTTATAAAGTAATAAAAATTACTGAGAAAAGTGACAAATAATGAAAGACTTACCAGCCGTGAAAAGTACTACGGGCGTATTGGCGATTGTAGTAACAAGTCCATATAAGGAATGTCACATGATCAGACATGTGACATCTGATGTCATTTATGTCCCGCCCACAAACACCACGAAGTCGACACCACAAGAAAACGCTAAAGCGCTCGGTTCAAAATAATAATAAAGAGGTATCTACTCTACAGTGGGACTACATCAAATTTCAAAACACAGTAGGTTTATCTCCTAATTGTAAAACTCTCGGCGCCCACAGGGCAGAGTTGTAGACCATAATTTTCGCGTCCAGCTCCTTATTGGGGTCCTCTTTGCTAAAAAATGCCTCCTAATAGATTCTGGCACGATGCCATGTGCATGTCCTTATGGAAACTGCCAAAATTGGGACCCAAACACTGCAGTTGACACCAATTTTCTTATCATAAAAAATCTTGTGAATTGTGACCATTATGCAAAATACAGCTGTATCCCTCATTATAACAAGTCTCACAACCTTCCGTCATGTTCCCTAGATAAAGTACCTCGCTTATTTTCGGTCATTTCTTTGATACCCTTTCATCATGTTTATGATATCATAACTTAATCAGAAGCTATTTCATTTGTCATTAGTTCCTGATAGTTCTCATTTGTTATCAGTATCAATATATGTACCGTTATACCATGTGTACCATTTATCATTTATTCGAAATACATGTGCATGTCATCATGTTTATCATTTGTTCTGGGGCGGTCGGGTAGCCTAGTGGTTAAAGCGTTCGCTCGTCACGCCAAAGACCCGAGTTCGATTCCCAACATTGGTACAGTGTGTGAAGCCCATTTCTGGTGTCCCCCGTCGTGATATTCCTGGAATATTGCTTAAAGCGGCGTAAAATCATACTCACTCGCTATCATTTGTTCCATCCTGCGGCAAGCATGTCCACAAGTCTATATCAAAGCCTAGTTACTACCCTTGCCACATCAAGACCACTTTTCTTGGCTCGACCCTGGCGCCACCCCGTGTAGATAATGAGTTGTGCCCCTTGTAATGAAAACGCCATGTCCAATCAGATCGCTGTTCTTATCTCGTATAGCTTCATAAAGATGACTACTACCACAGGCGATGACCTGGTCGATCAGATAACAAAAAGATTCGCAATTTCATCCTTGACATAAAAACATAGGCAATCGTTGGGGGGTTTAAAAGATGAAAAAGACATAGTCCTGACAACAAAGACGAGCAGCGGTAAATGACTTTCAAAGGAAGGTGAACCATTCGTGGATGTTGATTTTGGGAAACATTCTCTGATTGGACTATCGGTGTGTGCAATAGACCAATCATATTTAGCCCAGGAAAGTGGGCTTGATGTGGCAAAGGTGGACACAAGACTTTGATGAAAAGGCTAGTGGACGCTCATGCCTCGATTGTCGATGTGACGTTAGATATTAACTCACTCACTCACTCTTGCCTCAGGAAAAGTGAGTTGTGAGTTGTGAGTTGGGTTTAACACCGCTTTTAACAGTATTCCAGTCATATCACGGCGTGTCAGCTTAATATGGGAGGAAAGCCCGAAGTGATGCAGGTCTCAGACGTTTACCACTATGGTGAAACCCACGAGCATGGGTATGGTGCTGACAAACCTAGAAACATAATCAGGGTGAACCAGGATTCGAACCCACAATCATAGGTTTCTGGCGTGCCCAAGGGACGCAACTCTGCACAGCGAATCGCGGCGCCTTAGACGACTGGGCCACCCGTGCCCCCGCCTCAGGAAGATGTATTTGTGCCCAATATGTTTATCATTTGTTCCAAATGTATGTGCTATAACCAGGGTATTTTGGGAAAAGGTTTTAATATTAACTTAAAATGTTGTTTAGGAAATTCTGTAAAGTTCTAATTTAAAATACGAAATGGACATAAGAAGGGTGATTGTACTGGGAGGAGGCATCGACCCACGAGGTCAATAGATTTTTGATTCTCTAGGTGACAGAAATAGCTTTGTTATCTGCTCTCAACAAAACTGCACAATACTGGATTGAAATAAAAATTGACAACAAAGATAGTTCTCAGGACTAATCTTATTTTACGTTATGAATATACAGGTATATACACAGTAAACTATGGATATAACAAACTCAAAGGGACTACTAATTTTATTTTTTATATCCGAAGTTTGTTAAACGCATTTCGACTATCAAACATCTTTTATCAGGCCATGTGACATCATGTTACTCGAAAAATAAAAGTGTGCACTGTACATATACAGAATATATCCACTTCAATCACTGTGTTACTATTGTTAACTGAGGGTGTAATTTGAGGACAAGGTGTCAGTGTTTAAGGGTAAATCAATTGCCTCCAGTTGTTTATTGACACAGATGTTTTGATAGGCAGATTGGTGGCACGTGAGGAGCTTAGCTCAGGGATTAACAGTTTGTTAGACACTTAAACATTATCGTTGACAGAGTACACACAGGGCCACAAGGTGAATTTCGCTATATCTGTTATATCGTTATAAGCGTGTTTGTTATATCCATCAACTTTATATGATAAAATATATGGCAAATGGCTGGGGCCAAAAGAACAGTTTGTTATATCCGTCAGTTTGTTATTAGTGTGTTCGTTATAAACATAGTTTACTGTATATAGGTATTGAACAAAGTTTGTTAGAACGATATTTCTCCCAGACTATATTATCTTCTTTGGTCATTTTTCAGAACAAACGGTATGGATAGTAGAAACGATGCAGTAGAATCTCAAGTATCTGAGATTATGAATGGTAACACACCTAGTCAGTCCCCGGACTACGACATCCTCGCTGAACGACTTGCATCGCTTGGAGTCTCCACAGATGCTTCTATGTCCGAAGTAAGTTGATTTTTATCATGCTGTTTGTCAGTTAATAAAAATGAATTTCTCATTCTAGTATTTAACTGAAGTTCATAAGGTAATCAATAAGAGAACACAAGAAAGAACCATTGAAAGATTCACAGTATTAATGCCATGCTCAGCAATATTCCAGCTGTCTGTAAATAATCAGGTCAGGACCAGACAATCCAGTGATCGATATCATGAGCATCGATCCACGCAATTGGGATACGATGACATGCATCAACCAAGTCAGCGAGTCTGACCACCCGATCCTGTTAGTCGCCTCTTATGACAAGCATGGGTTGCTGAAGACCAATTCTAACCCAGATCTACTGGTTACGTAATCTTTAGACAACTGCCGCACTTCTCAACTTCTTTTTTTTTTCTTTTTATATTTTTTTCATACGGATTATATTAAGAAATAGCTTATTTTCCCCGTTAAATTTTGTTTACCCCTGTGGTGATTCTGAGTTAAATTTGGTGCCCTTATATTTATACTAGCCACATTAAGAAACTGTGCACGGAGAAAAGGGCACACCGTCCATATAAGAAATATAGGTTTAAACACAGCAATTATTGGAGACATTCAAACGCTCTTGCACGTGCCATGAGATATGACATCATTGATGGAGGCCTATGGACGTGCAATGTGTTACTGCACGTGCATCCTGTGCAGCTGTACACAGCATGTGCAACTTAAAATTTGCTGTCACTTTGGAAAGCATGATCTGTGGTCATTCAAAAATTCAAAACTTCTCAGGCGCAGACACAAGCATATCACAAGCAAATCATGCCAAGATTGACAGCTGCACAGCGTCATGAAGCCATTGGAATGATCCGAGCGGGAATGATGCAACAACAGGTGGCAACACATTTCCAATGCCATCGAAACATGATATCGGCATTGGTGAGGCGTTATCAGAACACAAATGACGTTGCCGACCACCCACGTTCAGGACGTCCCCGAGTAACAACGCCAAGACAGGACAGATGGATTCGAGTTACACATCTCCGACACAGGTTCCAAACGGCAGTAACGACGTTCCAGACAATTCCTGGACTGCGCCGTATCCATCCTAACACTGTCAGGAATCGTTTACGTCAGTACAGGATTCGACCACGACGCCCTGCCATACGTCCAATCCTGACACACCGTCATCGAGTCAACCGTCTAAGATGGTGTCGAAATCATGTTCGCCAACCTCGAATATGGTGGAGAAATGTTGTCTTTACAGATGAATCGAGGTTCAACATTTCCCACAGTGACGGGCGCCAACGTGTCTACCGGCGTTTGGCAGAGAACGTTATGCACGCAACTGTATTGTGGAGAGGAATCGTTTTGGAGGTGGCTCTGTGATGATTTTGGGTGGGATAACAGCACGGCACCGAACCCCTTTGGTGGTTGTTCAGGGCAATCTCACCGGTGTTGGCTACAGAGATCAGATTCTGAGGCCTGTGGTCATTCCTTTCCTGCAACGTCATGGCCCGGGATTGACATTTCAACAGGACAACGCTCGTCCTCACACGGCTAGGGTCGCAATGGATTTCCTTCACCATAACAATGTCATGTTACTGCCATGGCCTGCAGTTTCTCCAGATCTCTCCCCAATAGAGCATGTGTGGGATGAAATGGAGCGCCGTCTGCGTCGTCTTCCACATCCTCCAGATAACGACCGTGACTTGGCACAGGATTTGAGGAGGATATGGCAGGCCATTCCCCAGGCCTTCCATGCCCATTTGGTGGACTCCATGCGTCGCCGATGCACTGCTGTGATTCACGCACAGGGTGGTCATACCCGTTATTGACTTTGTGACTTTGTCGTATGACCCCCTACTCCATTTTGATCTTCCGACGTCATCGTAACAGATGTTGTTCAGGTCCCGTTGACATTTTCAGCTGCTACAGCATCTGCATCATTTTGTTCTTGCTGTGTTGTATTTCAATCCAGAATATATTTTCTGGATTATGACTTGGCTGAATGTCTCATGGTATCCAGACAGTGTTGGACATAATACCAATCACTGGATTGTCTGGTCCCGATTTTACTTACAGGCTGCTATCATACAGGGGGAATATTGCTAAATGTGGCATTTGACAACAAACAAACCTTTAGTAGTGCAGTGATAATGTCACAATAGCTTACATGAATGAAATATTGACAAATTGGATTGAGTTCACTGGGTCTTTCCTTGGTGTTGTAGGCAGCCAATGTTTTCAGTGCCAATTGTCAATTTACATGTTGATCATCTAAAGATATGCTGAAGGATAATGCAATTTGACTACAGATTTCTGCTTTAGCAATACCAGATCTAGTGTTCATCATTGCATAAATAGGCCTGTCAACAACAGACAGTAAAATAACTAGACTTATGACAGATTACTATTTAAAACCATAAAAATGCTGACCCGTGAAGATTCGGGGTAGAATAGGTCTTCAGCAACCCATGCTTGCCATAAAAGGCAACTATGCTTGTTGTAAGAGACGACTAAAGGGAACGGGTGGTCAGGCTCGCTGACTTGGTTGATGCATGTCCAAATTGCGTGGATCGATGCTCATGATATCAATCAAATGGATTGTCTGGTCGATTATTGTACAGACTGCCGTCATATAGCTGGAATATTGCTGAGTGCAGTGTTAAACAACAAAGAAACAAACAAACATTACATAAATAAGATGTGCATAAGTTGTCACTAGTTAATTTTTTTGTAACATGTTCTATTTGGGATAACACTTTCTGAGTAAAATACAGATTCTCACACTTTTTTTGGAAGTGTGGGTTCGAATTCCAGACGGGACTCAACTCCAAAGAAGTACGCGAATCTGTACTTTACTTAGAAAGTGTTATCCCAAATATAACATGTTACATTTGACCACTTTCTAAATGGCGTTGTGTTTTCATAGATAATTTTTGCCTGTAGGATTGGGATTTTGATTTGGAACTTCAAGACTTCTCAGATGACAGTGAATCTGAATATACATTTGATGAAGAAGACGAAGTGAATGAGAGAGGCACTGACTCCAATGAAAGGTCCCCTGAAAATGTTGCCACTGTCAATACGAACGATGAAAAGAAGGGAGCACATGGCACCATGGATCTTGTCCCTCTAGGTGAGTTTTATCATGGACAATATTTTTGATATGTTTGTAAACGGTAATGGCACAGAACACTATTGCCTGTTATAAGTGGCTGGTAAGTTGGATCGGGTAGTTAGACTGCCACGATTTGGCAGGAATATTGGTGACATATAGAATACTAAACTGTTAAACTCACTCCCATGTAATACCAATTTTATAAAACTTTTGAATAGTTCTGTTATCTCAGCGATAGAAACTAATCGGTGCATGAATAAAAAATCTGTCTATTTAGCTATCACAATATTTCTTCAACAACCAGACCTGTTCGTCACGGGTGGAACGAGCATTCATTGAAACAGCCATCTGCATAATGCTGCTACCCCTGCCTCACAGGGCCATATGACACAGTTAAAACAATCAACTCAACTCGAAAGGGTGCACGGGAATCACGCAAGTTGAGACACCCAACGCTAACACCGTATTCGTGCGTGCGTGATACCCGTGCCCCCTTTCGAGTTGAGTTGATTGGTTTAACTGTGTCATATGGCCCTGTGACGCATGGGTAGCATTATGCAGATGGCTGTTACAATGAATGCTCGTTCCACCCGTGACGAACAGGTCTGGTTGTTGATGAAATATAGTGATAGCTAAATAGACAGATTTTTTATTCATGCACCGATTGTCTTTAAATGTCATATCCAGTTATGTATGACTGTTTAATAATCTCATACCAACTTTGACTGGAGTAGGTCCGATAGTTTTTCAGATATTGTAGTAAACGTCGGTACCTTAAATTACCTTCCAGACTATAGGATACCTTAACTATCGGGCAGTTTGGCATGGACTACAGGACTAGTGCCAATTTCTAATACTGTATCTGACGGCTTTAATAGAACATAAAACATAAAAAATAAAAAGTCTCCCTCCCCACTTTTTAAAAAAAAAGCGTATGATAATTTAGCAGTTAATGTATTATGGCCTTAAGCAACTTCCACTCACTCACTCACTCACTCACTCACTCACTCACTCACTCACCGAACTCCTGTTTGATTCTGCAGAGGATGATGGAGAAGAGATTGACAGTGAGGAAGAGAGAGACCTCCTGAAGGAAATAAGAGAAGAAATCCAGAATAAAGTAAAAGAAGAAATGAAGGAAGAGCTCCAGATGTACAAGGCCAAGCTCAAGGCCATCGAAGGCGGCCGGTTGCCGGGAGACCAGGAGAGGGAGGACCAGAAGAAGGAGGAGGAGGAGGAGGAGGAGGAGAATCTGGACCCCAAGATAAAGGAAGCACTGATGAAGATGAGGAAGCTGGATCGGATTCTGAACAAGAAACTGAAGCGCGAGAGGGAGGTGAAGAGAGACAGAATCCTCTTGGAGAGAAGGTACTTTCATGACATTTATATTGCCTGGCTTATGTCATAATCAGGTTGACGCGGGTGAAAGGGAGTTCATATAGTAATTGCTGATGTTTATTGTTTTTCATTGGGTCAGTCATGGAGAAAGGATGGTTGGGTTCTGGTTACCTGACTAATGATGTGTTTTGGTCAGATGACTGGTAATGCTGTGTTTTTGTCTCACATGATCAGGCCAGACCAATATATTTACTCTTTCTCAAGGATTTTGTCTAGGTTGATTTGATGATAATGTATTAAAAAGAAATACAATCTTAAAAGTGTTAATATTTTTATTTTTTGCTGTACCTAACTTTAGGGTGATCTCTCCCTAAACTCCTAAGGTCCATTTTTCACCTTTTTTAGTCTCATTAAATTTTCATCTAAAAGATCTTTTTAGGTAAAGATTCATTTCATAAGAAATAGTTCTACTTAAAGATTTGTCAGCTGTCCAGTTGTTAACAGGAGTTGGCCATGTGCCCAATAGTGATAACCTTTTTGACCACAAAGATTTAATGCAGATGTACATATAAACTTGATGTACGTGAAGTCGCTTTCTGTTGTAGGATCCGAGAAGAAATACAAAACTTGAAACCAGAAGGGCGTGAACACAAAGATGTGAAGGTGAACACAGAGAGGTTTGTGGCTCTAGCTCTGCCCTCGAGTCACAATGAAGGTAACAGACACTCACTTCATTGTCTTTATTATACCCCGCCATGAAGTCGAAGGGGGATATAGTTATGGGTGCTGTCCGTCCCTCTGTCCATCCGTCATGTTTCTTTTCCGGAGCAGAACTTAAAATCCATGAGAGATATCTTCACCAAACTTGGTACATAGATAGGTCTAGTGGTGAACTGGTGCCTTTTAATAGTTTGGGATTTTTGAAAAAATAAATCAAGTTTCATGGCAACGACTTTGACTTAGACTGAAAATGGTGGTTGTGCTCGTTTCTGGGAGGGCTAACGTCTTGCACACAACCAGACATGTCATATTGGCGTGGAATATGAGTATTTCATGCTTGTTTGTCTGTACATCTAATCCAGAGTGGGGGGGGGGGGGGGGGGGAGGGGGAGGGGGGCACGGGTGGCACTGTCTAAGGCGTCGCAATTCACTGTCCAGAGTTGCGGCCCTTGGGCACGCCAGAAACCTATGATTGTTGGTTCGAATCCCGGTTCGTCCCGATTATGTTTCTAGGTTTGTCAGCACCATAACCGTGCTTGTGGGTTTCACCAAAGTGGTAAACATCTGAGACCTGCATCTCTTGGGGCTTTCCTCCCTCATTGAGCTGACACGCCGCGATATAACTGGAATACTGTTAGAGGCGGCGTTAAACCCAACTCACTCACTCACTAATCCTGAGCGGCAACACTCATCCAAATCAAATAATTTTGAAAACCTCAGAAGTGTAGTCCTACCAATTGTAAGTCAGCTTGTATGAAATAAGAAGTTGTGTGCAAATAAAGCAGATAGTTCATTATGTAAAATTATTTAAGAATTGCCTTTCACTTTATGTGAGTTCATTGGAGTACAGGCAAAGTTGTGACTAAAACGGTCGCCAATGCTTCCTAAGTTTCAATTTGTCTACTGTCTAAAATTCAGAGGTAGCCAAATGACTACCTTGAAAAATATCTTAATTCTATTGCTACACATATGTAGACACAAAAATAAACATGTCTGCTACTAATTGTACTCGCAGATAATTACTCCTAAAGTCAACAACGAACCGAAATACTTAAATATTTATGTAATCAGTATTTTATTTTAGTTGATAGTTTATTGGATAAGCAAGGATATACCTATATAACCTAGTAACATAAATTGCATCATTGTTCGAGTCACAAATAACAAAACTCAAGTACTGTTTCCACTAATATACAATTCCAAGACTAGTGCTATGACTTGTACATATTATAATAGTTATTTAATAAAGATAATTTCAGGTGCTTTTGATTACCTACAATATTGGCTTGACTTCTTGATTTTACCACTGGCTACCTGGAAAAAACTAGTTGTAGTCATATGGCTACTTGGTAAAAATTTAAACTTTGAGGCCTGGAGTATGAACCTTTATAGAGTGAGGGCCTTTCTGTATGAACGTCTGAGCTTGCGACAGTCAGTGTTTACGTCATTTCAAGAACATGGTCATGTGAAAAATGTATGAACATCAAATTGTGTCATATATACACTTTTGAACGTCAATTTCACGGTCATGTGACCGTCCTCTCGTCCAATGGAAAAGCTAAATTAAAACATTAAAGAGAAATTAACCATATTATGGTTGAAGTTGGAGAAATCAGTTGAATCAGTTGATTCTGGAAGTAGAATAAACCCCCTCCTTCAGGGTTTGGTTATTCTACTTCTGGAACCAACAGATTCTCATAATTTTTGTGAAGATTCCGGGGTAGAATAGGTCTTCAGCAACCCATGCTTGCCGTAAAAGGTGACTATGCTTGTCGTAAGAGGCGACTAACTGGATCCGGTGGTCAGGCTCGCTGACTTGGTTGATGCATGTCATCAATCCAAATTGGATGGATCGATGCTCATGATGTCAATCACTGGATTGTCTGGTCCAGACTGGATTATTTACAGACCGCCGTCATATAGCTGGAATATTGCTGAGTGCGGCGTTAAACAACAAACAAACCAAGCAAATCATGATTTCCCCTTCACATATTGTTCTGTCTCAGGTGTGCCAGTGGAGACAGAACCCGCCACCCCCGTGTTTCAAACTCAGCTGAACGAGAATGAGTTTCAGGAGATGAAAGACAAGGCAAGAAGGAACGCAAGACCTAATGGAGGTGGGAATTTAGGGAAACTACCATATCCTGTTTTTAGCGTTGGTATTGTCATCATACATATGTTAGTATATTGACAGTTCTCTTGTGATTGTGTATCAATGAGATGTAAAATATTAATAGAGCAGGGTGTGCACATAATGGTCTTAATTTATAAAACTGTTTAACTTATTATTATTGAACGTGTGACTAATAGCAAAGTCACAGGTCAGGGACATAATACCAAATCAGACTCTCAGGAAAATTTAATGAATTTTAGAAATCTCAATCTGTTTAAAAATGTTTATTGTGTTTTCAGTACTCTGTGTAATGGCACAGGTTATCTTCTGATTTTGCACGATGACCTCCGTTGATATAAATAGTTTTGTCTGGTTTATTGTCCTATCAATAAGTTTATAAGCTTTCAAAAAAATAAAGAAGTTTTTTTCAAAGGTGTAACATGATAACTTAGAGGCTGTTGTGTTTGAGTGTTAAGTAGAGTGTGATGGAATCAGATAACTTTAGTGTATAAATTTTTTAACTTATCCTACCTCACACTATGCATTTCTTCCTTCTTATTTTGATCCTGTGTGGAAACATGCTCGGACCAAGTTTCCATCTTCCAAAAAACAATTCATCCGAACACATCCAAGCATCCCCCTGGTTACCACCCAAAGAAATGATTCATGCACTATAATCCCGTTCATAGTGACCTACACAATACAATCTTGTGATTGCCTCTGCCACAACATTCTCTTTCTCATCGCCACATATTGGAGACGTGCACTGAGATTTGAGCGATTCTAGTTTTTTTACTCCTTTCAACATCATCTAGATCATGTACATAATCTGACTGATAATGGACAAGGACAGTTCTGTTTGCGACGACTTTCTACACAGTGGAGGACCACGATCTGTAGAATCTTGATGACACTCAACATCCAGTTCATTGGGGCCATCTTTGATCCCTGCCTCGGCAAGATGTTCGTTCCTCCGGACCGATGGCTGAAAAAACAGCGTCTCGTGCCGTTTGGTTCTCAGAGAGCCGCTCCTTCTAGGTCAATGGCAACAGCTCCTTGGTCTTCTCTCATCAGCGCATGCCCCCACTTTGAGGGGTCAACTTTAATATCGGCTGCTTGAGTACTTCTTCAGTCCTACATCCAGGGCGACATGCCAGGTCCCAATCTCCCTCCCTCATCTGCCGTCCTGACCCTACATCTCTTCATCCATGCCTCCACAGTGGGTTGGGGAGTGCACTTAAACAATCTGCAGGTGGCAGGGCGTTGGTCAGGCGAAGACAAGCGACTCCATTTCAGCAACCTCAAGTTGAAAGTGATCATTCTGGCAGTGTCCCATTGGGCAGAGCTCCTTCGTGCATCTCATCTCATGATCCAGTAGACAACATCCCGATCTTCAGGTATATCAACAACATAGACACCACCAAGTCGATGTCGCTCCTGTCATTCTTGATCAATTTCTTCTGGCTGATGGACTCAACATTCAGGTTTGAGCGGGACATATTCCCGGGATCTCCAACGTTATAGCAGACTCCCTATCCCAACAGACAGACCATCTCCAACAGAATGGCACCTCCACCTGTTGATCTTCGGGTGGATCTGCCAACTTTACCCATGCCAAGACTTTACCCATGTCCACCTGTTTGCAACCGAGTTCAACGCTAAGCTATCCCAGTTTGTCCCTCCCATCTAGCCATCTCATGGGAAGGCCTCAACACTTATGCCTACCCCCAACCGGTGCATAAAGTGGCATCCACCCGTCTCCTCACTCTGCTTTTGGTTGTGCGCTTTTAGCCAACTTTTAAAGAAGGTTCCATCATCTTCCACTACAGGACAATCTTTCTTCAGCCTCACTCCCATCTGCTCCATCCGTTGCTCGAATGCTCCACCTTTGCATTCGGCGCATCCACAGAGGTCACTCGTCACCAAAGGGTATTCCCCGAGAGTAGCAAAGACCATCACGGAAGCTCAACGTTCCTCTACTAAGACCCTCTACGACCACCCTCTACAACTGGATCATAATTATCTACAGTTGCTGGGCTTCAGTCCTACAAGTTGCCGAACCAGTCATCTTGTTTCTAGCCACCTCCTTGGGGTCTCAATGTCATCCTCTGCCATTTGACTTTGGCAGAATATGAACCGCCTGCTGACAAGCCTGAGTTAAGTTGATCACCTTCAAGACCATTTTCCTCCTGGCCCTTGTGACTGCTGCATGAGCTAGCAAAATCCATGCTCTGGGGTCCAGGTGGAGAGTCTACAGAATGGGAAGCTTTTTCTGGGACTATTGCGAAAAATCAGCTTCCAGGCCAATCAAATTTTTTTGTTTTCCGTACCGTTGCTCGTGTCCATCCTCATCCCTGCTCACCTGAGGATTTCCCTTTATGGCCAGTTCGAGAGCTTTGGATCTACCTTGAGGCTGCCTGACCACTTCCTGAAGTGACTCTTCATTCCACTTTCTGTGGCGGCCACAATGAAGTTTCCCTTAGTGCGATCTCATTTTGGCTTTGCTCGACCATCTTACAGGCCTACACCATTGCTGGATTGCCTCCGCCTGTCTCGTCCAATCCTCACGAGACCTGAGCAGTCGCTTCTACCATGGCCCTACATAGCAACTGCTCCCTCTCCACCATTATGGCAGTCTGATACGGTCTCTGTTTCCCGCTACTTTCATGACCTGTTACTGACGTCCAGGGTCTTCACCAATTCGGCCCCTTAGTCCTGCTACAATAGCTGACGACTACACAACAGCGCAGATAGTTGATGCGATTACCCACTCTGGTTTTCGTATCATGTACATACTGAATACATCCTGGAACTTTACTTCCAGTGTTTATTATTTGTCATTATCAGGTTCTCAGACTGAGTACCCAATTAGATGGTTGATTATCCCGTCTGTAGAGACTTGGGTTTTTAATATCAAAGTCGCCGCAGGGAGTGGCCATTTGACGGTGTCACGAATCTTTAACCCGCTAACCTCTGCTTAATGCATTTGTTTATTGGTATTGATTTGAAGATCCTGATTTTTAGAAGCTGGAAACTTTCTTGAAGCATGTTTTCACAAAGGATCGAAAGAAGAAGGAAGAAATGCATAGTGTGAGATAGGATAAGTATTACAAATGTACAATAATTGTAAAATTTACAAACCTGAAGGAGCCTGGAGTAGACCTGGGAATTAACCTGAAAGTATTACTGATGAGACTTTTCGTGATGATGTGCTTGAAATGCAATCACCAGAAGGTACATGATCCAATGTGGTGTTCCTTCAGACATGGCTGGATCAGAGACATCGTCAGTGGCTGGAGATTCCTCAAGTCAACTTGGCCAGGATGGAAAGAAAAGCAAGAGAAAAAAGAAGAGGAAAGATTTCATAAAAAGGAATAAAGAAGTATGTAATTTGAGTGATAACTATTGATTAATGACTTGAGTGTTTATAAGGTTATTCATACTGTCTATGTGATATAAGTTAGTTGCCAATAATCACTCTAAAATAGAAATTATCCTTAATGTGATGAAATGGACTGATGGTTTTCATTACATATTTGTCAAATTATGCAGCATCATGGATGACAAGTTCACCATAAGGATGTGGCTACTCTCATCAAAAGCTTCAAACCGTGCTCCATGGCCCTCGGACCAATTCTAGGCTAGGTTTAGACATTGTGTTAGTTTGTTTGTTGTTTAACTCCACACTCAGCAATATTCCAGCTATATGACGGCGGGCTGTAAATAATCCAGTCTGGACCAGACAATCCAGTGATTGATATCATGAGCATTGATCCACGCAATTGGGATCGATGACATGCTTCAACCAAGTCAGCGAGCCTGACCACCCGATCCCGTTAGTCGCCTCTTGTGACAAGCATAGTTGCCTTTTACGGCAAACATGGATTGCCGAAGACCTATTCTACCCCGGATCTTCACGGGTCCTACTCAATTGGGATAAGATGACATGCTTCAACCAAGTCAGCGAGCCTGACCACCCAATCCCATTAGTCACCTCTTACGACAAGCACGGGTTGCTGAAGACCTATTCTTCTCTAGATCTTCATTGGTATGACGTTGTAATAAGTGACTTGTTGCAAACTGTGCAAAGTAGAATATTAAGTACCTGCTGAATAATGTGCATGTATATGTTCATTTTAAAATTTGAGTTTGCAGACATACAAAGTGGGGTTTGAATAGCTTGAATCCAACTTGCTGGGCTGCCAAGTTGCTGAACCTAGCTGTGCTTTAATGCCTGACCTATTTCAGTTGGCTGCTAATGCTGACGAGATGATTGCTATGACGGAGGAGGAGAGGGAGAGAGTGGGGGCATTGCTGACTGACCTGGACTCGCTGCCTGACCTCCCCGAGGAATTAGACAGCATGAGAGAGGTGAGCCAGGACCCACTTGCACAAAGCGATCTTAGCGCTAAGATGATCGTAACTCCCATACTTTAACATAGGCTTACAATAGTCTTAGCGCTAAGATCGTTTTGTGCAAGTGGGCCCAGGACTTGCTGGAGAGACACACAACAGAAACACCCAAACACAACAACGAGTATCCTCCTACTTAAGAAATAAAAGACGAGTGGGAGTTGTTTATCCTACAATAAAACACTGCAGGGAGAATAGACCATGAGGGGACCACGACAGGTTTTACTTATGTGAGATACTGACATTATTTACAGTCTTTTTAAAGAAGATGATGAAATGTACAAGCTTTTAAAATTATGGATCTTAAAAATGATGACTCCCTCAATAGAATCCAACCTCGGCCATGTAGGACAATAGATTTTCCCCCAATACCGATTGTCATAACTCTCCCGCGATCACTGGATGCGATCGTTTGACTATCGCATTTATCTCTGCTGCTTTACTCCATCTATGTGGAACACTCTCTAAAATAACGTTGTCCAATATACAACGTCATCAAGTTTCAAGCGCATGTTCAAATCTCCAGAAATGACATCATGATAGAACAATGTTTTATCATGAAATACACTACGCTTCATTCTTCATTGTTCTTTGCGATTTATCGCGTAGCTATCTTATATTCATCAATAAATATCTATGATTGCATACTTTATGAGATGGATGAGTGTGCATGTGTCTTAGTAAGGAGTGTATGGACTCTGCCATGGCCTGCAGTGTGTCATGAGGCTAGATAGTTTGTTTGTTGCTTAACGGCGCACACAGCAATATTCCAGCTATATGACAGCGGTCTGTAAATAATCAAATCTGGACTAGACAATCCAGTGATATCATGAGCATCTATCCACGCAATTGGGATCGATGACATGCATCAACCAAGTCAGCGAGCCTGACCACCTGATCCCATTAGTTGCCTCTTACGACAAGCATAGTCGCCTTTTACGGCAAGCATGGGTTGCTGAAGACCTATTCTACCCCGGATCTTCAGGGATCTCATGGGGCTAGAGCCTCAGTAAGGTGTCTCTCAGCAATACCATTTACCGTATTCGACGTAATAAGCGCCCAGCTCTAATAAGCGCCCACGGCGACATTTGCTAAGCTATTGGCTAGTGAACAATCCCAATTAGCACCCCTCCCGATTGATCAATGTACACAAGACTTATTTATTCGTGTATAATACGCACTCGTGTGTTATATGCATCCTTCATTATAGGCAATTATATTCTGGAAAAACATATCTGTCGTACATACACACTTCAGCATAAACCACGAAATATGTCATTCAACTCTGTTTTTCTCACCAAAATAATGTTCTAATAAGAGCCCCCTATTTCTAATTTTGAGAGCGCCCTGGGTGCTTATTACGTAGAATACGGTATGTGTATTTTTGATATTTAGTTTTCCCAACTTCAGGATCCAAGTGGAGGCAACCCATTCCAGATGCTTCCCCTGAGACCAGGCGAGGGCTACTGTGGGGACGAGGGGGAGGTGAAGTCGATGGCCCAGATCGATGGACAACTCAAGGGGCTCCTACCTGAGGAGGAGTTCAACTCGTTAGTGTGTGGCACACCTTTCAGCACTGCCCGAGAACCACAGGTAGATGTAACACTTGAATCACTATGTTGACATACCAGTCAGTGGAGACTCGCATGCCAAAGAGACCATGAAGTAGACTTTTGAAAAATACATGAAAAAGTGATTTGTCAATTTGATGAAACAATAACGGAATTCTGGTTTTCCGTTTTGTCATACAGAATTTGCAGATGCGTTTATCGGCTAAATGTAGATGATGCATGTTGCATGTAGTTTATCTCCGCGTTAAATACCCAGACTGCCTGGAGTCTCCACATAGGGCTGATCTATCACTGTCTTGATAATCTATGAACTCTCTATCATTGTGTTGATTCCATTTTATTTTATTACTTTCCAACGAAGCAAGCGAATACTCAAGGACACGTCAGCCATTCCTAATGTTTTTCATGTAATTTTGGATAGCTGCTATGAAAACAAGAGAGAAAAAAAGTTTTAAAAAAAAGATCAACTGTTTATCTAAACATAACTGTTTCTGATTATTATCATTTTATTGGCATGGCGTCTTGTATATTCCTTTCGACTTATTTTTATTAGAAATTGGGAATAAATGTTTTGGGAAATGATGACATCCTCAGTATAAATGAAAGAAGTTCTGAGGGAAAATATCTTAGCAATTCCTTTGTTTGAACACATTTCACATGAACTTTTGAGAACAAAGTTGGAATCTGTAGCACTCTTTAAATGTTATAGATTTTATCGAATTATTTAATTTATTTGAATGATTCTTCTGTCCTGTCTCTCTCATGATCAGCTTTTTATATAGTTTGTTATGTTTATTATTTCACAAGACATACCATTCACAGGCTCACATCTTTCCCCATCAAGTGTTAGGCAGTGTTACCATGGTTACCATGGTAACAAGCAGAAACTGCAGTTCCTTATAACTTTAGGAATCATTAGAAATATGAATTTTTTAGAGATATTGAATAAATAGGAAAGAATAATTTAATTTCCTGTTTTAGGGCAAAATGAGAAAAAGAAAGTGGCAATTATTTTTATAAAAATATGTTGACAAGGTTATCGTGAAATATAAGTTATGTTTAAAACTACATTATTAGTTGTAGCAGGATCACGAGAGGTACATGGGGTTTTATGCATCCCGGTTAGGTTTTATACCACTAGCCAGACATTGTAAAAGTATTGAAACAAATTCAAAATTAATAGCAAACAGCTGTTCGATTGAGCTGAGGTTAGTTTGCGCTATGTCACATGACTTCCATTGACTCGGGGGGAAAAGCGTGTGGCTTTTTGCTTTGAAGCGGGGAATAAGGGATATATTCTGCCTCTCAGAAATCCATGTTCAGCTCGTCGGGGGTATAAGAGATTTATTCACCCGCTGAGAAATTTATTCCCCTCCATGCCGGGATACACAGTATTTTATCAAGATCATGTGGACCAATCAGATCTCATCATTCTGACATGGAGGTATAATAAACTCATTTCAGCCAAACAGCATTTCTGATAACTTTGCCAAATATGCAGATGGCTGTTCCATAAAACAACCCAATATTTTTATGTGTATTGACCATTAACTCTTAACACATGTAACCAAGGCTCAGTACATGGATATGGTATAACTGTTTAACACATGTGGTGGGAAATCAGTATGACCTGTGTATGGTATGACACTGATCACTGCTAGGTTTTGCTCACTCAGCAAGTTTTCTTCACAGCACAAATTGTTCACTCGTGTGGACATTAGATCTGTTGGTGAAATAGAGCGCTATGGTGAACGAGCTCTCATAGAAACCAAAGAACAGAGAGAAATGCAGGCCAGGTTACAGAGGATAGAAGAAGATCTAGCCAGATTCAAAAACCCTGAAGAAATGGAGGTATTTTGTACCCAGCAGTTAACCTTGAACTAACCATGACCTTTACCCTTTAACCTTGAACCAACACATTCCTTCGCCTATGACCTTAGCAAGTGACCTACAGCTTTAATCCTAACCTTGACATTCCAATAACCCTTCATCATTGCTCTTAAATGACCTTCTATTATGTATGACCTTGACCTATTTTTTCCATGACCTATTTGTTTTGCAACAAGTAGATTTTTAACAAATATTAGTAGAAGCTTGCTCTTGTGTTACACCCTTCATGGACAACATGCATATGACTTATGAAGTAAACACCATTCCTTCATTTGGAGCTGGGAACTGAAATCGTTCAGGTAGAAATAACCAGACACTATCTGGGCCTACTGAGTCACTTGACAAGTAGGGGCGTTGGGGTAGCCTAATGGTTAAAGTGTTCCCTCGTCTCGCCGAACACCTGGGTTCGATTCCCCATATGGGTACAATGTGTGAAGCCCATTTCTGGAGTCCCCCGCCATGCTATTACTGGAAAATTGCTAAAAGCGGTGTAAAACCTCACTCACTCACCAATTTTACCATTTGACCATTACCTCCAAGAGTCACCTGTATTGGGAAATGGAAAACAGAAATTTTACAATGCTAATAGTGCCTTTGTGTTTGGTCCATTGATCAATTCCCCTCTTTTTCCTTTCCTGGGATGTTTTGCTCCTCTTCAAATGTGAAATACTTTCAGAGCAGATTCTTGATGAGAGTCTGCCTTATGTGGTTGTATCGTCTTTAATGTATTCATGGTATTACTGTGAATAGAACCATAAACAAGCCATTGCTTCTGCCAGTGTGTAACACAACGCACATCACTGTTTACAGGTAAGTAGCCTTGTAGCGATTCCAGGTCCAATAGGTCCCCAGCAACCCATGCTTGTCGTAAGAGGCAACTACATATATATTGAGTGGTAAGGCTTGGTTGACTATCACAGTATCTCCAATCTCATTAAAATCAGATCTTAGTTCTCGCTATCGCTGAGCAAAGATCTGAAGATATCCCATTAAGGGTCACGTCAGAAAGACCTTTCATCCAACCAATCAGAGCGTCGCTTACCAGATCATGAAAGTGACAGTCGGAATGTGTTTTCTGATCATGCAACCACGAAATATTTAACAGAGGGTATTCCGAACGACAGTTACAGGTTTTATGATTATACCGATACAATCTAGGCCATCTATAAGAAATTCCAGAATGTTCTTTTTATCAGTTTTAATTGTTTTAATCGAGAATACGTCAAAATATGTTTTGAAGCGTAGTCGCCAGTCTGAAACTAGTGTCGTGAAGCTCGAGAAAGCTCAACAAACCAAACAAGGCAGAAACTCCTAAAGACCTTGCATAACTGTAAATCTGAAAATTAATGCATTTCAAAATTAATACAACTGCACAAAAATGTGACTCAATATCAATGCAACTCCCCCCACCCAATCCCCAGTTAAATAATGCATATCCTTACCTTAATCCGATCAAGCAGCAAATGGCACCACTTATTGACACTAAGTAGAGCACATCCGTTTTCCTAAAAGCAGCACACAGTTTATATGTTTACTCGGTTGACTGGCATTAAGGAAGTTCAAAGGTAATTGAACCAAGAACAGTTCACTGATTGGTAAGCGGAGAAGGTGTCAACAAACTTGAACTGGAGTGGTCAATGATGCCTAGTTTGACATGAGTGGGTAGAACTCTTGACCCCAGCAGTGATAACTCACCAGATGCTCATTGTGTAATTCCTATTCATTAACTGACGTTGTTATATACTTGTTATAACTGCTGCTCAATAAACCATGTTTGTGTTTATATTCAAGTTGGTATTTCCGCTATCTAAAGTGTGGAGTGAGGCCGTATTATTGTTGATAGTCATTTGGTGACATAAATGTGAAGTTTCATTCATGCGAACAAAGAGCACTCGCATTTTTTCGCATTTAATTCATGTTCGCGTTAATTTCAAGATATAGTATTTGGAGCTTTGTATGTCTTTCTATCATTTTAATGGGTTGAGGATGGATTCTGCATTGTTCTAGATGCTGAAATGTTATTTCCCCAGATTGAGACGCCAAGGTTATCGGATGATGCATTGAAAGGCCTGATAGACCAGTGTGTTCGGTCTTTGTCTCGCTCATCGTATGCTGACGACATGTCTGTCAACGAGTCAACACCAAGGTCAGTGTTACAGCTCACTGGAAGAACAACCTCATCCAGACATCAGCAGACACTATTGGAGTTTTTACATATTTACTTTGCTGCTGTGGAATACGTTTCCAGTACTCGTTGAGGTAGCGTAGTGGTTGAAGTGTTCGCTTGTCAAGCTGAAGACCCGGGTTTGATTCCCCACATCAGCACAATGTGTGAAGCCCATAATTGGTGTCGCCTGCCGTGATATTGCTGGAATATTGCTAAAAGCAGCGTTAAACCATACTTACTCACTCACGCACTCCAGTTCTCAGTGTACTTGATAGCTTGAGCTTGGATCCATAATTGTACAATGACATTTATCAGACGGAGACCTGTTTCACAAAAAAAATGTAGTGCTAGGGATGAAATTGGATGATTGTCCATATTTGAAGACAGTTGCTATAACTGACTATCGCTGACATGATAAAGCCTGCTATTGCTGTAAGATTCTATTGGTTATTTATTTAGTCAATGCATTTCAAAATTTACAGGACACCAAAAATAGATTTAGTTCTTGCCACTTCCCTCTTGATATATAAGACCCATGAAGATCCGGGGTAGAATAGGTCTTCAGCAACCCATGCTTGCCGTAAAAGGAAACTATGCTTGTCGTAAGAGGCCAAGAACGGGATTGGGTGGTCAGGCTCGCTGACTTGGTTGATGCATGTCATCGTATCCCTATTGCGTGGATCGATGCTTATGGTATTAATCACTGGATTGTCTGGTCCAGACTCGATTATTTACAGACCGCCGTCATATAGCTGGAATATTGCTGAGTGCAGTGTTAAACAACAAACCATTTCTTTTACACAAATCAGTTCTGACTATGCAGATAGCAATATGTTGTAGCTCTTGGCCAGTGATTCTGTTTGACCTGTATCCTGGTTCACCAATGGGCACACTGTAGGGTGAGAAGGTAATAAGAATGCAAACCTTAGGTTGTGTACTCCCCAGGGAGCTGAGAATGCAGTTTGAATACACACTCATCCTTTGAGCGTTTGAATACACACTCATCCTTTGAGCATTTGAATACACACTCATCCTTCGGGCAATAAATTTGTACACAATGAGCATGCTTTAGTCCATTGATATTGTGCATAAATATGCAATAATTAATAGTATGATTTTCAATGCTGCCCAGGTCGGAAGTATCGTCAGTGGTGAGCGTCCTGCAAAACCCCCCACACCTAACGGACGAGGTTCTGCAGAGGCTGCTGGCGGAGGCTCACTTCCCACTCAGCTCCCACCTGGAGGCTCTCCAGGAGGACGAGGATGGAGAGGAGGATACAGAGGAGGAGGAGATGGAGGAGAGGAGAGAAGGTGGCAGGGAAGCAGGTATGTTGACAGTGTTGTACCAGTCATGTAGCTGTCACTGGAGGTTTGGAGGTGATAACTAGTCGCTAGTGAAGTCAGTGATGGGTCATGTCAGGTTTTTAAGAAATGGGGGTTGCACTTTGCCCAAGTCACCAGGTGAACACATGGGTACCGACACAAGTTGACCTGTAAGGTTGCTGAACAAGCGATGCTGGCATCCCAGCTCTTGATCCTCAAGTATATATGTAATACATTTTGGTTAGGATGAAACAATATTTGTGTCCCACCAGGAGAAAAAGGACCTTGTCGATGCTAGGATACAATTGTGTTATGAGTGAAGATTGCCATGTGTGATGTCATATATCTCTATTAGAAATATGAATTGAAGCTTGTGAATATTATTTTTGTGTTCCGATGATGCTTCAGTTTCAATATATAATGAAGAATCAAAATGTGATTTTTTACTCATGATGTTCCTTATCTCAAGGTTGGTCACATGGTATTTGGAGGCATTCTGCACATACCCAAAATATGATTCATTATTTGGACGTGAACTCTTGGTCTCACAGGTGATTCAGTATCAAATAAGCAGGCCAACATGCACTGCTTCCATTCTGTCAGTCTATCTTGTTTGTAAATGTTTATTTTTCTGTGCATTTTAATGTATAAATAGACCCGTGAATATCTGGGGTAGAATAGGTCTTCAGCAACCCATGCTTGTCGTAAAAGGCGACTAACTGGATCGGGTGGCCAGGCTCACTGACTTGGATGATGCATGTCATCGTATCCCAATTGTGTTGATCAATGCTCATGATGTCAATCACTGGATTGTCTGGTCCAGACTTGATTATTTACAGACCGCCGTCATATAGCTGGAATATTGCTGAGTGCAGCGTTAAACAATAAACAAACAGAAATGTATAAATGTTCTGCACATAATTCTTATCTCCTCCAGGTACATGGACAAGACAAATCCGTGCCGAGACCTGGAAAGCAATAGCAGAGTCAGATATTTATGAAAACGGACATGAGGATGACCTGGATATAGAGTCTGTTTCCCGAACCTCCTCGAGGAGCACACTTAGATCAAGTGCTGTGCTGGAGAGACAGAGTTCAGACATGTCAAGGTTCAGTAATTTTTCTGAACCTGAAGAAAAGCGGCTCATTTTGCCAGAAATTAGCCAAAGCCCTTATCTTGTGAGCCAGGGTTTGAACAATCAGGTGTCCAAAAATGAAACGCATTATCGTCGAAACCATGACCGACCACTGAGCAGAGATAGTATTGACATTGTGAGGAATAATTTGAACGGTGATGATTATGTAATGGACAGAGATACTGAGGGAATGATTGTACCTCGACCACCAAGTAGTGACCGCCGGTCAAATACTGACCTCTCCTCAAGCAAATGTCGGACGGTGACCCCTCTGCTGCAGTCATGATGGAGCATTTGTGTATGTTATAGAGCCAGTGATTGTATGTGTGTGTCTTACAGTCATAAATATTACTGGATAGTAAACTGGCTTCTCTTCAGGATTGACCAGTTGCTCTTCAGGATTGACTGGCTGCCCTTCAGGATTGACCAGTTGCTCTTCAGGATTGACTGGCTGCCCTTCAGGATTGACCAGTTGCTCTTCAGGATTGACTGGCTGTTCTTTAGGAATGACCAGTTGCTCTTCAGGATTGACTGGCTGCCCTTCAGTGTTGACTGGCTGCCCTTCAGGAATGACTAGTTGCCCTTCAGGATTGACTTGTTGCTCTTCAGGATTGACTGGCTGCCCCTCGGGATTGACTGGCTGCCCTTCAGGATTGACTGGTTGCTCTTCAACATATTGAAGTTGTGTTTTAACATAGACTTTTTATAGATTGACTGACTGGCTGCCCTTCAGGAATGACTGGCTGCCCTTCAGGAATGACTAGTTGCCCTTCAGGATTGACTGGCTGTTCTTTAGGGTTGACTGGCTGCCCTGCAGGATTGACTGGCTGCCCTTCAGGATTGACCAGTTGCCCTTCAGGATTGACTGGCTGTTCTTTAGGGTTGACTGGCTGCCCTTCAGGATTGACTGGCTGCCTTTCAGGATTGACCAGTTGCCCTTCAGGATTGACTAGTTGCCTTTCAGGATTGACTAGTTGCCTTTCAGGATTGACCAGTTGCCCTTCAGGATTGACCAGTTGCCCTTCAGGATTGACTGGCTGCCCTTCAGGATTGACTAGTTGCTCTTCAGGATTGACTGGTTGCCCTTCAGGATTGACTGGTTGCCCTTCAGGATTGACTGTTGCCCTTCAGGATTGACTGGTTGCCCTTCAGGATTGACTGTTTGCTCTTCAGGATTGACTGGCTGCTCTTCAGGATTGACTGGTTGCCCTTCAGGATTGACTTGTTGCTCTTCAGGATTGACTGGCTGCCCCTCGGGATTGACTGGCTGCCCTTCAGGATTGACTGGTTGCTCTTCAACATATTGAAGTTGTGTTTTAACATAGACTTTTTATAGATTGACTGACTGGTTGCACTTCAAGACAAAGTGGTTGCTCCTCAAAATGGACTTAATGCTCAATGTAAAATCAGTTGTTTGTCTGTTGTTATTTCCGTGTGTATTGTGATATGTTTCGTGGAAGTGTAACCGATGGTATGATCACCAAACATCTCACAAAACCCAAGCAACAAACATGGTGGCCCTGGGATCAGTTTGGTTCTTGTATTCTGGAACATTACATACAGCATTTACAAACATGAATCCTTCCAATGATCCTACAGGACCACAATACAGGAGGCAGATCTTGTTATATTGATGATGATACAAACTTTACATACATCAGTATTCATGTTTAATGCTTCTGTCAGTATTCTTCATATTGTACATAAAAACATATTGTTTCACATCGAAATGATTTCATGTTCAATGTCACATTTCCGCCCGTAGTTAATATGAAAATGACACATATGTCTTACCAAATTACTATCATCATCATCATTGTTCATCATCAGAGTTTCTAGGGCCTTGGTCTGACCCACACTGGTGCACATGTTGTGTCTCCTGAGTAGGGCTGGGACGGGTAACTCGGGTACTCGGGTCGGGTGGGTATGAGTAGGACCCGGGTACCCACAGGACTACTGGACCCGTGGTTAGTCACATGATATATTGTTTTATGACAAAAAGTATCTAAAACTCTATGTTTTAACTACAAGTCACTAATGTTTGCAATTTTTCCTGACTACTTCGCCGATTCCTTCTGACTTTTATATGTTTGAATAGAAATAAGACTTCAGTCAACTTCAGTGTATACACCAGATCGTTTCATACATGTATCTAAACACATTTTACCAGAGCTATGGTCAAACTTTTCCCAATCGGACAGTTTGTACCAACCTCTTGATACCTACAGCGGGTACCCGGGAAGTAAATTTAGACTCGTCCCGGCCCTACAGCAAGCAACTTTGTTTAAAATATGCCTTGAATGGGTACCTGGTAGGATGAGATTGTAATATGACTGTTAACCTTGTGCCTCATATGGCAAATTGGGTTGTATACTCCCTAGGGAGCTGAGAATGAACTTTTTTTAAATATGCCCCTCTTCACCCAGCAGTGAATGGGTACCCGGTAGGATGAGATTGAAATGTGACTGTTAACCTTGCACCTCATATGGCAGCTTGGGTTGTATACTCCCCAGGGAGCTGAGTATAAAATTCGAGTGCACACTGGTCCATTGACTGGGGGTAATAATAAGACGCATTAAGCATGCTTGAGGGTGTGGATTTGGTTTTGTAAATATAATCATATGCACATTATTAATATTAAATGTTGAATATCAGATTTATGGTGGTTATACATGATGATGCATTGAATCATACCCTTGTTTTTAATTATGTTGATTACAATGTAATCTATCAAATGACAGTTATCAAAAATAAATTATCACTGCTTCTCTGTTGTTTTGTATAGTACTGTATATGGCCGTTGGCTTGTACATCATGACTCAAGATTGATGTCATTGTGTTGATGACATGAATCCCATCATGGCAATGACAATGCAATATAATACATATAATTCAAAAATTCAAAATTTGGACAAACTTAACCATTCCTCAAGGGCGGATCCAGCATTTTAAAAAGGGAGGGGTCCAATAACAAAATCCTCTCTCAGTTGGGGCGGGGTTGTCTACAACATACTACCTTTGGTTTTGAAAAGAGTGTTTGTGTGTGGGGACCCCTCTCTGGATCCGCCTATGATTTCCTAATGTCATAGCAATACTAAAATACTTAGGGATTAAATAAATGTTATGGCAGCTACATTTAAAATCATATTACCATACCAACTGAAAAGAGTCACAATATTCTCTCTCATCTATCAGATCCTTGAGGGAAGTCCTCGGTTGTTTTGACAACCAAAGAAAACCAACAGGGTTCTGCATGTTAGAGTCAGAGCGAGATGGATTGTGATGTGTATTCCAGTCATGCAACCTTATACAGTATGACCACTTTGGTCTGAGGGGTGAAACGATACAGCAAAGTCACATTGCAACATGCATCATGATACATAGGTCACGATATGTATCACGATACGCGTATTTATGTCAAATCAAGTGAAAACTTCTTACCATAAAGATTTCAGAGCAGGTTCAAAAGAAAAAGCTAGCTGTAACCACAGTTTTGACAAACTCTGAGGTCAAATGAGTAACAAGTAATATATTTTAGCAACTGTATCATATTGTGTATCGTATTGTCGCATAGAAACCGATGTATCAATTCACCCTTTATACCAACAGAACAAGCTGGGTGTATTGTTGGGGTAGATCTGGGATTCAAACCCACCTCCAGGTGGCGCTGATATGACTTACTAAGGGACATAACTCTACATCCTAACACTACTGGATCACCCCTGCCCGTGAGATGTTGATTATTATTATGTTCATGGTCAAGATGGTGATAATGACAACATCATTAACATGTTATAAATAAACAATCTGTATAATCAAACATTTATTTTATGAAGTGGATGGTACAATATAAGAATACATGTACACACATATATACATTGTATACTTGAAGTCAGTTCAGTGTATTAATGATAACATATGTAAACTCATCTAAGCATGAAAGTCATTAAAAGAACGAATGTTGGTTTTGACCACAGGCAGCAATATTCCAGAGCTAGCAGCGGGTTGTACACAATCTGGACAAGGCAAACCAGTGGTTGACAGCATGAGTAACAATCCAAGCGATGACAATCAGCCAGGACAAAAGCTGTAACCAACCCATTGTAGTCTGCGCTTGCGACCAACAGTGCATACCTGTCAACTCTCACGCATTTATCACCCATGTCACGCTCACACGCAAGGTCGGAAATTCTCACGCATTCATATAAAATGTAGATAAAAATATAATTTTTCAGAATACATGCTCCCTAAGGCAATTAAAATGGTCTTAAAATCATTCAAAACCAGTTTTCGCCCCCTTACGCTCCCCCCCCCCCCCCCCCCCCCCCTTAGCCCTGGACCCAGCGTGGCTTGCAGCCCCTGCATCCTGGCTTCTCACTCATTTAGACATCCAGGGGTTGACAGCTATGACAGTGGACACTGTGATCTGACCAATCCGGGGTCAAGATGACCAGTGTACACTACAATCCAAAGCTGTACACAAATAGCACTATTCTTTTAAAGCCAGGCTCTGGCATTTATAGGATACTTGGGTCACAAAAAAGATAGTTATATTTGTGCACAGCTATGAATTGCTGTGCCTTATGAAAACAAATGATTGACCATATAGCACCTTCAATAAACACATTGCACAAATACTGACAAGGTAGCTGTGGATCCCCTGGATCGGTTACAGTTAGTGAGTGAGTGAGTTGGGTTTAACACCGCTTTAACAGTATTCCAGTTATATCACGGTGTGTCAGCTTGATGTGGGGGGAAAGCCCGAAGTGATGCAGGTCTCAGACGTTTACCACTTCGGTGAAACCCACGAGCAGGGTATGGTGCTGACAAACCTAGAAACATAATTGGGGCGAACCGGGATTGGTACCCGCAATCATAGGTTTCTGGCGTGCCCAAGGGACGCAACTCTGCACAGCGAATCGCGGCGCCTTAGACGACTGGGCCAGCCGTGCCCCCGGATCGGTTACATGAATCCATGGCTCAACAACTCGAAATATAACATCTTTGGCAATGCACCTCACCAACACAGACGCTAAATTCTAACAGCAATGCGTTTCTCTCCTAACAAAATCGAAATATTTTCCTTGATGTGCTCGCCTTGGAGACCGTTTCACTGCCGACTGGGTCTCTACTCTCTAGTAATTGCACCTTTAGTTTCAATATAATGTTTTTAGTTGAAAATGTCAAAATAGTTTTGGGTGTTGGTGCTTGAAAATATATGTTCTGGTCGTTGCACACCTCATATCATTAGGTTTTATATTAGAAGTAAATTAAAGTATCAACACATCAAAAGATGATTTTCTCGAGTGACCATTGTTTGTAGTATATGTAGTAATGTCAGTGGCAGCAAGTCATTGAAGGACTAGTAGAATGTGGAGCGCTGTCATGGTTCCATTTTTGAGGCAGTCCTGACATTTATAATTTCTGTTTGTTTGTTGTTTAACTCCACACTCAGCAATATTCCAGCTATATGACGTCAGTCTGTAAATAATCGAGTCGGGACCAGACAATCCAGTGATTGACATCATGAGCATCGATCCACGCAATTGGGATATGATGACATGTATCAACCAAGTCAGCGAGCCTGACCACCCGATCCCGTTAGTCTTACGACAAGCATTGTCGCCTTTTACGGCAAGCAACGGTTGCTGAAGACCTATTCTACCCCGGATCTTCACGGGCCGCTGCCGCTATAGATTATTAATCACTGTATAAATGAAGGGATGGTTTCGTTCCTATGATAATGTACTGTTTTGCAGTTCGGGTTATAATTCAAACAAATATCAAATATTGAGTATGACTATCGTTATTTAAAAAAAGTCAAGCTCTTTGTGTAGGTCCAAATAACACAAATTGCTGAGGTTGAATCCGATAAACGTTTACTTCGATCTCCAGTTAATTTGTTTTCAACACTTTGAATGATTATAAATTGATATTAAATCCCATTGAATCAAATCAGCGAACAAACAACGTATCTTCACGTCTGATTTGTCATACAATTAGAGGACTTTGTGGAATGTTTTGCAATGTTCATACAATACCATGAAACATGCGACGGCCCTCAACAATTAATGAACTTAAAACATATGCATATATGGAGCTGAACCCGTGGCAAGCGAGTGCTTTAACCTCTTGGCTACCTCGCCGCCTCTACATTACAGTGTGATATTTGCCAGATAAAATAAATTAATTTTATGCAGTGAAATGAAATACACTTATAATGGCCTCGATTCAATCATTAAACATTAGCTAAAATAAAACACCCCTCTCACACAAGTTACGTTATCAAGTAACATAATGTTAACATAATAAAACAAGATAATGGTCAAACAAGGCAGCATGCAATCAACAAAATATATTTGTATTAAATAAATATATATAATCGGAATCACGACACAGCAAATATCACATTTGTTAAAAGACAACAATACACAAACCATTAAATATTTAACGTTACAAATCATCGTTCAAATTACAGAAATAAATCACGAAAAAAGTTGTTTAGTGGATTGCTCAAGAATGGACATCTGATATAACAGCACGCAGATTCATTCCCAAACTAGTCATATTTAAAGGTTTCTAATGTATACATGGAACTCGGCCAATGATCCCGGCAGTGTGACATTCACGTAAAGGTTAAAGAAGTATATTGATCTTCAATTTGTTTTTTTGTTTGTTGTTTAACGCCGCACTCAGCAATATTCCAGCTATATGACGGCGGTCTGTAAATAATCGAGTCTGGACCAGACAATCCAGTGATTGATATCATGAGCATCTTACGACATAGTCGCCTTTTTACGGCAAGCTTGGGTTGCTGAAGACCTATTCTACCCCGGATCTTCACGGGTCAGCTAACATCTAGTCGGTTGATAGACTACGTCACATGGTCAGAAGTACACAGGTTTTGTAAATACTGTAAAACATTGACAATTTATCCGGCACTGTGACCATTAACACCGCCCAGATTGAGAAATGTTTGGATGAGCGTATCATGATATACAGAGTTATGGCCCTTTGTATATATTGTCGGTCATTCGTCACCACTCGCCCCTTTCCGTAACCTGCAAGAAGGCTTGTCCAGGAATAACACGAGTTGGTCACGAATGATATGTAGGTGTGTATACCCGTTAGTTCTGAATTTCTAAATTACGGGAGCTTATTTTTTTTATGTAATACTGTTTGGATTGTGGAGGTTTGATGAACTATATCTTTTGTGGAAGATATGTAAGTGTGTGAGTGAGTGACTTCACATCATGTACGAAATTGCATCTTCCCGAGGCAAGGGAGTTAACTGTCTTTACAGTCAGTTAACTCCCTTGCTCCGGGAAGATGACAAAAATGTGAATCGAACAAGGTCTTCAGTGAATGCGTGCCAATAAGGCTATTTCCCTAACGTTAAGATCATAACAACACTCATTCCAGCTCAGAATGTAACAAAATAATTAAAAGCAAATAAAACTGCTAAATGCACAGAACACTGGTATAGTAGTCGCTAAATACCTGAAACAATACCCATACGACTCACAGATGTCTTCGTTACTGGGTCTGGTTTCACAAAGCGACTGTAGCGCTAAGCCTGTCGTAAGTCCAAGTTTGTGAAAGTTGAGCCAGACAGTTATTGTGAAATCCGGAACACCACTACATCTATGTCTTCTAGGCACTCAAGGTAGAGGTAGGGATAACACACACATACATCAAGATTCAGGCGATATGAGAAAACTGCCATTTTGTCAAATAAATAGAGAATCTCACCCAAGTGTCTTTGGATATCAAATATATGAACGAGTGTGAGATTTTATTTGTAGACAGTAATAAGCAGTGTCTTAGTGTAAAAAGTACTGCTAACAGCTTCAGAAGGCGAGCCATTAGTGATGTCATTTGATAGTGGCGTCATGGCAACCAGTGACGTCACAATGGTCTGCAAAGCACTGTGATACAATTTCATTGCAGCGATATCTACAATGTAGATATATAGAATACTAAACGAGCTCCCGTGTATTACCAATTTTATGAAACGAGTAAATATTTGTGGTATCTGACGAGCGAAAGCGAGTTAGATACCACAACTATTCACGAGTTTCATAAAATTGGTTTTACACGGGAGCGAGTTTAGTATTTTATTTATTACTTGCCATTTATAACGTTTTTAGAATTATACTGTTGAGTATGAATAGGCTGACACCTACACGATCCACGGCATAGTCCAATTGAGTTTAACAGAATAATACTTCAAACACGTCAAAAGTTGAAACGTATTAATTTAATACCATACAACGGTCCACCTTTAGAATTCAGGCGTCCGTTCCACAAAATTATCGTAGGGCTAATCGCAACTCACATATTTTAACTTAGACTAACGACTGTCGTTGCGCTACAATACGATCGCCTTGTGGAACGGGTCTTGCACCTCAAAGTTTACAATCACGTCACAATACCCGATGACGTAAATTGTGGAATTTTGTTGCAAGGTCCATCGGCGAAACAATGCCATGTGACGTCAGCCTATCAACAAGGTTGCTGGGGTCATCGAGTGTGCATAAGCTCCTCTCAGTGATCTATCAACTCCATACGCAATGTCGTTGAATAAGCCAAGGGATGTTGAGAGCTTTCAATATTTGTTCGTGAAACGTGTTCAGAGAGTACATAAGCACGCGTTTTGGTATTACACAATGTGTAATACAGCTGTATGTTTATTAAACGGGTGATCTCTTCACGGGCAAGTAATAAATCGCATGATCACACCCAAGCCGTATCTCCTGTGGGAGCCAGGCAATGTCTTCTTCCCGTGGCAAGGGAGTTAACTGATAGTAAAGGTGGAAACTAAAGCCAGTTAACTCCCTTTCCTGGAAAGACGGGACAATGTCAGCACCCTGATTGTTTGTGATATATAACATTCAGAACATTATTTTAGTTATGCAGCACCGTGTCTGAAGGCCGTACTGTTAGATCAAGATTTTTAATCGAGACAACACTAGGATTCGAACCATAACAAATATTTTTTTGTCTGAGTTTGTTAGTAATTCTACAAATTAAACCAGACACTCACAGCCGTTTCTGTTTGCAGCCTTCTAATGCCCAGTAATGCATGGCTTAGAATCAATGATGTTTTGATTTAGTCGTTTCATTGAATTAGTCCTGAATGGCTAGTGAAATATATTTAAAATCTGTATTTGTTTGTAATTTTTGATTATGAGTTATACAGTTGAACTCCGATATTCAGTTAACGGGTTGGGTCAAATGACTTGGAATTTGTACAGATTGTCAAGACTAGGGCTTAACAAATAATTGACACTCTAACCCTTCAACGCAGTTTGGCTTAAATGGAAAGTCTTGTATCACGTGTACGGCTGCCATAGGTCACAGGTGTCCATACCAGTCGATGAACCATGACCTAATTACAAACATTGTACAGGTCTCTTCAGGCCACAATCCTCCTCAGTCAATAGCCATTGCAGAAGGAACAGCTTAAGCAGCATTGATGTTGAAGGTATAGGCCTTGTCATCAGAGTCTAGTCAGAACTTCAACCTCGTATGGCTTTGGGGTCATGGTCATCCCAAACTCGGGGTCAATGTCAGGGTCAATGTTGCCGACCTTGGAGAAGTGGAAACTCTGCAGCAAGTTGGAGAAGAACAGAAACAGCTCCATCCTCGCCAGAATCTCACCTGCACACATCCGAGGACCTAGCAGGAACATAACAGTTTGCAAGTAGTATGACTATCTAGTGTGAGTGAGTGAGTTTGGTTTTACGCCGCTTTTAGCAATATTCCAGCAATATCACGGCAGGGGACACCAGAAATGGGCTTCACACATTGTACCCATGTCGGGAATCAAACCCGGGTCTTCGGCGTGACGAGCGAACGCTTTAACCACAAGGCTACCCGACCACCCCTTATCTATCTAAAATGATATACATTGATCGTTTAAAATCCACTGAAGCGCATGCACCAAACGTTTGTGACAAGTATAACAAGTATCTAGTAATGGGGACACTTCCGTGGGAATTCCGACTTAGAGTTGCTTAGAGGCGAGGCACACACACAACACAATCTACACCGACCAACGATATCATATTACGATAAATACAATGCCATTCGTATCAGAGCCTAAACGAATCTTAACGAAGGAATCAAGGGTATTATTATTTCAGAATGGAGATATTATGCCCTGGACAATCGAGGATGTACCGACCTCCACCAAAAGGAATCCATGGACCAGGGTAAATTATCTCCCTTTCGGGGGTAATGAATCTCTCCGGCTTGAAGATATGGGGGTCCCCCCACAGCTCCGGGTCGTGCAGCACGGAGTAGATGCTGGTGTACACCAGGGTGTTCCGGGGGATGCGGTATCCCCCTACCCAGGTATCCCAGGGGCTTGTGCGGAGTACGGCGGCAGAAGCTGAAAGTAGATCAAGTGTACAGGATAATGTCAAGAATGATGACCATGCATACTATATACTAACTCTGAATTATAAAAATACACAAATTATAAAGAAAACAACAAAAAGAACCAAACAAAAAAGCTCTGAATTATTCATGAGGATTCCTAACCCTTTAATCAAAACTACTGTCACCTCCTGAAACACGGACGGTGGGCTTGGACTATTTTTTAAGGCGTTCGCTCGTCACGTACCCGCTTTCGATTCCCCGCAATGTGAAAAGCGCATTTCTTGTGTTCCCCTAACCTGATATTGTTGGAATTTTGTTAAAAGCGGCATAAGATCATACACACTAACAACGTAAGGATCTTGGTGAGAAAGTAAGTGATGTTTTACACAGTGTTAGGTATGCAGAAATCCTCTACGTATGGGCTTTAACATTATAAACTTGTCTGGAATCGAACCCGTGTCATATGGCGCTCGAAGTTATCATTAAGCCATGACTGATATCTTGTTTTGGTTTTACAATGGTAACAAGAAAGAAGTGAGCAGAGCTCACATACCCCCGTTATCCCCGCTGGTCAAACTAAGATTGAGTTCCTTCCAGTGACAATTGCCCCCCCCCCCCCCCCCCCCCCCCCCCCCCCCCCCCCCACACACACACACACACACACACACACATAAAAAATGGAACAATATCATATAAGAAAATCAATAAATTAATAATTTCCATCTAGCCAGATATGGTAAAGAATTCATAAATTCAAACTAACACAAAGCACAGATACTTATGATGATCTACATGTGTGGAAACAATTTTGGAAAATATATTAGCTTTACAAAACCAGTCATCAAAATTTCTAAGTTCCATCATGTTTCCATGAAAACAGCAAAAGAGAAAACTTTCAGAATCTTATAAAAGATAAAAAACAATCAAAGTGGTTAATGTAACAAGTTTGCTGAAGCTAGGATAGATGATATTGTAAACATGGATCGTACAAAAACTCTAACCAAAATTTATGTTTCACCATGATTCCATGGAAACGGCAAAAATAAAAAAAATCAGAATCTTCAAACTAGCAAAAGGCACAAGTACTCATTGTGGTAAATGTGTGTAGCAAGCTCGATGAAGCTAGGATGCATAGTTAAAAAGATATGGGCCGTACAAAACACCCATCCTAAAAGTTTAAGTTTCTTAATGTGTCCATGGAAACGGCAAAAATTAAAAAGTTCAGAATCTTCAAACTAGCAAAAGGCACAGGTACTCATTGTGGTAAATGTGTGTAGCAAGTTTGGTGAAGCTAGGGTGCATGGTTAAAAAGTTATAGGCCGTACAACAGCTCGGACGGAAGGACGGACGAACGGAACGCTGTATACCCCCGATTTACTTCGTAAACGGGGGTATAATGAGGTGAAATGGGGTTTAACGTCGCACTTATATAGCGACGTGTGCGTGTGCTTGTGCGTGGTTGTACTAGTCTGGACTAATTTATAGTGTTCATATTGCTAGCCCACTGAGACGACATGCCGACCAGTCCTTGTTTTAGTCCCTTAATGCCGAGCGCCAGACAGGGTAACAACAAGTACCATATTTTAACGTCTTTTGGTATGACGCTGCTAGGGATCGAACCCCGGACCTTCCGCTCTCCGGACGGACGCTCTACCACTAGACAACGGAGGCGGTCCACACTGGGAACGAGCTACCAAGTTCTTCAGAATTCAAATAAATGTGAGCTTCATGCAAATTTTAGCGATATTCTAGCAATATCAAGGCAGGGACAAACATGTTTGCTTCATATATCGTATCCATGTTGGGCTCGAACCCGGTACTTGGTGTGACGAGCGAACACCTAAACAACTTGGCTAACTCCAAAACAATCTGAGACTGACCAATAGACGACATGCGCTGTATCTCCATCATCGTGGCTTCAGTGTAGATGAGGGAAGGTCTGTCGGAGACTCGCACTGTCCGCCCGCATCCCACCACCTGGAGGCAACACCATACAGTACGTTACCTTTCTTTCAACCCAAACAATTGTCAAGTCTTTATCAAGTTCTTTAGATCTAAACATGCATTTGATCACTTGTCTACATATTATATTTATTACTTTGTTTGCACACTCAGCAATATTCTAGCAAAATGGTGGCGGTCTGTAAATAATCGAGTCAGGATCAGATAATTCAGTGATTGATATCATGACACCATGATCATCAATCTACGCAATGGGGATACGATGACATGCATCAACCAAGTCAGCGAACCTGACCACCCGATCCCGTTAGTTCCCTTTTACGACAAGCATAGGTGCCGTTTACGGCAAGGATGGGTTGCTGAAGACCTTTTCTACCCCGGATGTTCACGGGTTTAAAGACTTTGAGACTTCGAGATCTATTAGGCAACTGACTAAACTTATTTATGTCGAGTTGTGTTGCATTTAATTTTTAACGACCGAAATAAAACATACACTTTAAATAACTATAATAATAGTCCTGGGTTCAAATCCAAGGTTCTTGGTGTGTCAGCTCCATGACCGTGCTCTTGGGTCACACCAGAGTAAACATCTACTACTACTTATTTTTGAATTTCGTCTACAATTATCCATCAACCTTCAAAGCGGCGTAAGACGCCTCCGTGGTCTAGTGGTAGAGCGTCCGCCCGGAGCGCGGAAGGTCCGGGGCTCGATCCCCGGCCGAGTCATACCAAAAGACGTTAAAAGATGGTATTTGTTACCCTGTCTGGCGCTCGGCATTAAGGGGCTAAAACAAGTACTGGTCGACTCGGAGTCAGTATACTGTGTCTGAGTGAGGTATTCGTGTTAAACTGCGACATGGTATCTCATGAGCTTGCACTATAAATCGGCATCAGTCCGGATTAGTACAAGCAGCCACACACAAGTTAACGCCCTTGCCTTGGGAAGATGATTGCCTGGAGTGAGTGAGTGAGTAGGGTTTTACGCCGCTTTTAGCAATATTCCAGCTATATCATGGCGTGGGACACCAGAAATGGGCTTCACACATTGTACTCATATCGGGAATCGAACCCGGGTCTTCGGCGTGACGAGCGAACGCTTTAACCATGAGGCCACCCGACCGCCCCTGATTGCCTGGAGATAGTTGTAGCACTATAGTATTCCATTGCCGATGGACCAGCGACTTTTTACGCCTCTTCGAGGCGAGGTGAAATTGGGTTTAACGTCTTGACTGGGCGCCGCGATTTGTCTGAAGCAAATGCAGGTAATATGAGAGGTAGAATCTGATTGGTCAATAGGAGGGACTTAGAAGGGACATAACTTGTAATAGCCACTGGAGACGCTGCGATCGAGCCCCGAAATTCCAACCTAGTTCTGCAAGGGTGGAAACTGGACTTTTACAGTAAGTTAACTCCCTTGTCTCGGGACCCGTGAAGATTCTGGGGTAGAATAGGTCTTCAGCAACCGATGCTTGCCGTAAAAGGTGACTATGCTTGTCGTAAAAGGCGACTGATGGGATCGGGTGGTCAGGCTCGCTGACGTGGTTGATGCATGTCATCGATCCCAATTGCGTTGATCGATGCGCATGACATTAATCACTGGATTGTCTGGTCCAGACTCGATTATTTACAGACCACCGTATATAGCTGGAATATTGGAGTGCGGCGTTAAACAACAAACCAACCAACCATTGCCTAGGGAAGATGCCAGACAATCAGTCACATACATGTATTATCTGTTTGGACACTCAGAATACCCCTATCAAAGTGAGTGAGTGAGTGAGTCTGGTTTTACGCCGCTTTTAGCAATATTCCAGCAATATCACGGCGGGGAACACCAGAAATGGGCTTCACACATTGTACCCATGTCGGGAATCGAACCCGGGTCTTCAGCGTGACGAGCGAACGCTTTAACCACTAGGCTACCCGACCGCCCCTTCACCTATCAAAAGGTGAGTAGAACAGACATATTGTCATGAGAATCGGAGGCATTATTACCCTGTCTATTTCTCTCTGGCACTTGTGTTGAACATCCGGGTACTTTATCATGTATAGGATTCCGAAATCTAATGTTCCGGAAGTTGTCTCGGTCCCCGCGAGGATTAGATCCATGATGCACCGCGTCATGTTCCCAGCTGCAGAGAAAATAGGTCATATGATGCAGTGTACAGCTGCGATATATTACAACACAATACCACGTGCGCCACTGCCTCATCAACAGTTCGATTACAATATCTTTACCTACTGGGGGAAACCCTTGACGAAATTATAGTAGTTTGATGCTGTGGCGATTCGTTCATAGTAGTTTCTTGGAATATTCAATTCAATTCACTATTTAGACTATTTTAATTAGGATCCAATCAGCTTGTCAGTCAATCTTATTAAAATCAGATCTTTGTTCTCGCTATCGCTAAACAAAGCTCTGAGGACATCCCATTACGGGTCACGTCAGAGCGACCTTTCATCCGACCAATCAAAGCGTCGCTTACCAGATTATGAAAGTGACAGTCGGAATGTGTTAACGAATGACAGTTACGGCCCGTACGACTGAGTCTGTCAAAATTATCTCGCACTTCCGTGGGATAAACGTTTGAACGGAGGAGGCGTTGCACAGTACGTGGGAAGCACTGCCATACAATCTCAAATATATATATTAGACATTCCGGAATGTTCGTTTGTTCAGTTTTCAAAATTTTAATCGAGAACTGTGTCAACATATTTTTCAAGCGTAGTCTGAAATGGAAGTCGCTAGGTTAAAACGAGTGCCGTGAAGCTCGAGAAAGCTGCTTTTTAATTGGCTGATGTCGACTTCTTGCTAGTCATTTCAGTGGTCGGTCAAAGTTCGCGAAAGGTCGTTCTGACGTGACCCAGAACTCCAGATAAGCTGCGTATCCGCGTAAAATACGCATCAGAAATGTAGAAATACGCAGTAAAATAAAATCCAAGCGTATCAAATACGCAACGAACATTACAGATACGCTACAAAAATAAAACTTGCGCGTATCATCAAAATATCGTGAAGTAACCCTGCGTATTCGATTAGCAAATCAGCAACTTATTTTGAAATTATAAACGGGCATTCCGTCAACCTTGCCAAACTCCACGATGACAGTTACATCATGATCATTTGCCATCACACTTTCTCGTGGAAATATCGTGGTATTTTTGAGTCCTTTAAAGCTCTCGAACCCACACGAAACCAGTTTGCAGGGACTAGATGAATAGTGTTTTGAAATATTTAACTTAAATACCCACATGTGTAAAAACTAGTGGGTAACAGAAATTTGAGTACCCAGATAGAATTACTGATACCCAATGATTTTAAAAATGCATGGGTAAAATACCCACAACACCAAAAGCTTATCTGGAGCTCTGGTGACCCGTAATATGGGATGTCCTCAGATCTTTGTTTAGCGGCAGCGAGAACTTAGATCTGATTTTAATGAGATTGCTTGTCAGTTATCACAACTGTATAATCCCCTCAATCCTTATCGTTAGTGTATATCTGGCTTCACTCACCATGTGCTTCATTACCCGTGTGCTATTTGTTATTCTTACTGTACATCTGGCTTCATCCAATTATGTGTATGCTACTTGTTATCTAGTACCTGTTGTTGTCAAGGTTAATCTGCTGCTTATCACAATGCTATGCATACATACCTCGCATCACTTGGTTGTTGTCACTCCAGCTTGATAACGGTGTAAGAATCTACATCGAAACGTTGCTATATGCAATAAACCTGAAGTTGTTATCAATAAAGTTGTACCTTTTTCTTACTTATTTGCCAACTTCTAGAATGACAATCAAACAGTTAACAACATGGTACGTTTGTTTTGTGTTTGAACATTTCGGCTGACCACACCTGTATAGACCGTGGAGTGGGGATTCTCAGCCTCGTATTTAAGGAAGGTGTCGACATAGTCCCGTTCAACGCCTTCCTGATAGGTCTGTCGATGTTCTTCAATGCGTGAGTCAGCGTACGCAGAGATCTTGTTGGAGCCTTCAATGTACGGCCGCAGCAACTGTCGTAGAAATGATGAAGATGTCAAGGGAAATTATGAGACATACTGCTCCAGCAACGTTAACGCAAGTTTGCCAATTGTTGCGGTCGTTTTGGAACTTTTAAAAGTAAAGCCTTCATGTTTGTAGAGTTGTGAAGTACGTATTATGTGATTATTGATACTTTCATTACAGTGCTACAAAAGAATAGATACATGTCCCCGAGATCAACATCTTTGGTTTATAAATCAAATCGCGGCAACGGAAGGCAATCAGAGAGCAAAGTGCTCTGAAGTATTGGAGGAGACGGAGGGCAAACAGAGAGAATAAGTATGTCTTACCTTTCTGACGTGCATGAAGAGACGGGGGCAAACAGAGAGATAAGTATGTCTTACCTTTCTGACGTGTGGGAGGAGACGGGGGTCAAACAGAGTGATAAGTATGTCTTACCTTTCTGAAGTATTGTAGGAGACGGAGGGCAAACAGAGAGATAAGTATGTCTTACCTTTCTGAAGTATTGTAGGAGACGGAGGGCAAACAGAGAGATAAGTATGTCTTACCTTTCTGAAGTATTGTAGGAGACGGAGGGCGAACAGGGAGAAAAGTATGTCTTACCTTTCTGACGTGTGGGAGGAGACTGAGGGCAAGCAGAGAGAAAAGTATGTCTTACCTTTCTGACGTGTGGGAGGAGACGGAGGGCGAACAGGGAGAAAAGTATGTCTTACCTTTCTGACGTGTGGGAGGAGACGGAGAGCAAGCAGGGAGAAAAGTATGTCGGGTGGGAGGTCCTACCTTTAAGTATTGGAGGAGACGGAGGGCAGAAAGAGAGGCAACATGTGCACAGGTGAGATGTCTTACCTTTCCGAAGAATGGGAGGAACCTAAGGGATGGAATAGCATTGATGGCCGACGTTGCACCCTGCGTACGGAACAAGTTGTCTGTGGCGTCTATGAGAGACTTGAACGTCGGATCATCATACTCAAATCTAGACATAGAACAGAGCATTGGTGTGAGGACACTTCACTGCATTACAGGGATGATACATATTTGAATAACAGTAGTTTTTTATGAAGTTTTTTCTTTTCGACCAGTGATTTATTTGTTTGTTTGTTGTTTAACGCTGCACTTGGCACTATTCAAGCTATGTGACGGCGGGCTGTGGACCACACAATCCAGTGACTTACATCATAAACATGGAACCACGCAAAAGGGATGCGATGCAATCAACCAGGTCACCGAGCCCCACCACCGGATCCATGCACTCGTCTATTACAACAAGCATAGCTTGCTGGGGAACTTTATTCTTACCCTGAAACCCAACGGATATCCGACCATTGAATGACATGTGAAGGACTTCCTAAACAATTGAGAGTACAAGATGGGTTTAACGCCCCCTTTTACAGTATTTCAGCTCAGTCGGGGCGTGGAAGCTGAATGTGGACGGTCAGCCTGATGTGACGCCTGTCTGTGTTTACCAGTCTGGTGGAACCCAATAAGTACAGGAATGGTGCTGACATTCCAAGGATCATAACCGGAGCTAATCTTTGATTCGAAACCACAACCAGCGGATCCTGGGACAGCATATTTCAGCGCCCAAGATCACACATCTACAGTTTTAGAGTGATTTCTTCAGAATTAGAAAGAAACATGGTATTAGTGTGTCTAACACCCATATCATGGCGGGGACAGAACACATTGGCTTCACACGTTGTACCCAGGTGGGGAATAAAACACGAGCCTTCGACGTGACGAGAGTACGCTCTCGTCACCAAGCTCCAAAGAGTGAGTGAGTGAGTGCGGTTTTACGCCGCTTTTAGCAATATCCCAGCAATATCACGGCGGGGGACACCAGAAATGGGCTTCACACATTGTACCCATTTTGGGAATCGAACCCGGGTCTTCGGCGTGACGAGCGAACGCTTTAACCACTAGGCTACCCGACAGCCCCCCAGCTCCAAGCTCAGAACATAGAGAGAAGATCCAGCTACGTATCTTGAATATGTTTGTTTGTTTGTTTGTTTGTTGTTTAACGCCGCACTCAGCAATATTCCATATATGAGGGCGCTCTGTAAAAAATCGGGTCTAGACCAGACAATCCAGTGATTGACATCATGAGCATCAGAAGACGCAATTGGGATACGATGACAAGCATGAGCTGAGACAGCGAGCCTGATCACCCGATCCCGTTAGTCGCCTTTTACGACAAGCATAGTCGCCTTTTACGGCAAGCATGGGTTGCTGAAGATCTCTTCTACCCCGGATGTCACGTGTTCTGGAGTATGTTCCTACCTTGAACCAAACAGTACACTGTATATGACATTGGCAACAGATCGTGTCAAGTTTTTTCGGATCTGCACTGGTTGTCCGTCTAGGTCTGTAAGAACATCCTTTAAACAATGTATCTCTTCCGTGATACGTTCCTCCAAGGGAGATTTACCGACGCCAAGGTCACGCAATGCCCTCAGGGTCATTCGACGTAACTGTCGCCATTCTTCTCCGTCCCCCCATATGATTCCTGTGAACAAAACAACATTTGTTGTCATTGTGTTTTATACGCTATTAATACTATGACCATACAGTATTAACCTATCCACTTCAACAACATTTCGACTGGCCCATGCCATTGTTCGAAACTTAAAACACAGCCTGTCATTGTATAAGGGTGGACGTCATGAAAACGGGGTTTGGATGAGTGAGTGAGTTGTGCTTAATGCCGCTTTTAACAGTATTCCAGTCATATCGCGATGTGTCGGCCTAATGTGGGAGGAAAGCCCGAAGTGATGCAGGTCTCAGACGTTTACCACTTCGGTGAAATACACGAGCACGGGTATGGTGCTGGCAAACCTAGAACATAATCGGGGCGAACCGGGATTTGAACCCACAATCATAGTATTCTGGCATGCCCAAGGGACGCAACTCTGCACAGCGAGTCGCCGCGCCTTAGACGAATGGGCCACGGGGTTTGGGGTTTCTTCAAAAGCAAATAACTACAATTATCATGTTTTATAACGTTATACTGAAGAACCAGAAAATGGAATTCAAATTTGCGAATGAATAATGAATAATAAATGAGCAGTCGCTACTCCCCCCCCCCCCCCCCCGCCCTACCAAACACACACACACACACACACACACACACACACACACACACACACATACACACATATATAACTGTCACGCCTCCCGCTCGGGTGAGTTCTCAGGCCTTGCAGTTTTGAACACCGTATCAGTTCCACACACCGGAATCATTACAACGTCTAGACCTACACTTAAAGTGAGCGTGGACGAGTGGAGTCTCCCTTTAAGGTCGCTCCGTTTGTCTCGAACAACAGACAACTCGACATGTCAGATTATTCCTTGGACTTCGAGTTATCCGGGTTTTATTGTTGTGTAAAACAAAGAAAGGTTACAGTTTGGGGTATGTGATGTACTTCCTTTGGTTCTCATATTGTATCTATAACACGAAAAGCTGGAATGCGATCATGGGTTTATTCTTCGTCATGGCGTCAGTTGGTACGTCATAGCGCGAGCTAGCTGGTACTATTTACCATAGCACTAATCACAATGACAATACACTGCAGGGTAGATATGTTATTAATATATACAATAGCAGAAAAAAATGTATTAAATATCTTGACTCAAAAGTACTCCATCTAATTTTACATTGAAACTTGAGACGTTTGGGTTTATGCCGACTGGGTACAATTGTCATGAAATTGTTAATTACATGAGTGGTTAAAGACGCAGTTCACAAATGAAGACCAGTATATTTTAACCACATGTGTTTTTACCACACCTTACTGTCAGGCAATAGAGAGAGATGACAGGGTCCATCTCTCAAACGTTTTCGAAATTTAAATCTCACGATTTGCCAAACTGTCGATTAGTCGTAGTATTCTTCCCAACATGGCGTGTGTGCTGTGAATATTTAATCATTCGTCTTAACAGCTATACTACTCCACGATCCTGGGAATTAAGTAACATAATGCATTTTCCAAATACAGTAAACTACGGTTATAACGAACACAAAGGGACCACTAAGATTAGTTCGCTATAACCGTAGTTCGTTTTAATCATATATACATCATATATACATCATATATACAGCAAATATTGGGACGAAAAATAGGTTCATTATATCCGTCAGTTCGTTATAAACGTAGTTTACTGTATATTTGATCGCGCTGCACTGCACTACATCGATCGTATATACAATCATGGCTATATTACAGCCACTATTCGGATCAACATGCATATCGCTAGATCCTATAACGTTTCAAAAGCAGCTGGCGCTTGGTGATCGAGTACACACACATACAGAGTATGCAAGTAGCGGCGTTTCCGCTTACCTGCTGGACCGCCAGTTACAGATCCCCAATCCGGAAATGCTTACCTCTCCCTTTCTTTGTTGCTTGTTGCGGACCGTACAACCAAATCGGACGGTAGCTGAACAAGCCCCCTTGCTTCACCAACACCTCATGCACGGGCCCATAGCCATTCACAACTGTCATCATGGAACTCCCGAAATATATCCTGTACACGTTCCCATACTTTTTCTGCATCTCCGCATAATACAAATGCACTTTGGTTCGTCCATGCTTCCCAATGTCCAATAGATTACCTATAACTGGCCAGGCTCGAGGCCCCGGGGGTAGCTCGTGTGACGAGGAACAGAACAGGTAATATGACACAGCTAACACCACCAGTGACACCAGGAGAGTGTGTAGGTCTATAAATTCGAGGAGCACGGTCGCCATTTTCATTCAGCTCACTCGAGTTGTGATTACGACGGATTTGTACCAGGCAGGTGTCAGAACTGGGTCACACCGTCGTCATCTGACCTCGTTCACGTTTGTGTGATCCTCAGTGTTTAGTCAGTTGAAACAACCAGTCGGCTATCGTCGTCTTTTTCCGTGAGTTGGTTTAGTGTGGAAATTGTGAGACAGGTTGTTCGGGGTCATGTAATGTAGGGCCGTGCGTAGTAAAGTTCCCATAGTCTGAGGAGTTTTATAGATATGCATATCAATATCTTTTACATCAACATTTTCGTGGCGGTAAGTATATGTATCATTTTCGCTTTATAGCCTTCGGTATTGAAACGTAACTACTGTTAACAACTATAGGGATTCAGGGTAAGAATATATGTCCCATTAACCCATACTTGTCGTAAGAGGCTACAAAATACGTCCCCAGCAATCTATATGTGTCCTAGGAGGCGAGTAAATACGTCCCCAGCAATCTATATGTGTCCTAAGAGGCGAGTAAATACGTCCCCAGCAATCTATATGTGTCGTAAGAGGCGAGTAAATACGTCCCCAGCAGTCTATATATGTCGTAAGAGTCGAGAAAATACGTCCTCAACAACCAATACTCGCCCTAAGAGGCGACTAAATACGTTCCTCAGCAACCTATTTGTGTCGTAAGAGGCGAGTAAATACGTCCCTAGCAAACTATATATGTCGTAAAAGGCGAGTATATAGGTCCCCAGCAACCTATATGTTTCGTTAGAGCCGACTAAATATGTCCTCAGCAACCTATATATGTCCTAAGAGGCTAGTAAATACGTCCTCAGCAGCCTATACGTGTCGTAAAAGGCGAGTATATACGTCCCCAGCAACTTATATGTGTCGTAAGAGGCGAGGAAATACGTCCTCAGCAATCTATATGTGTCCTAAGAGGCGACTAAATACGTCCTCAGCAGCCTATACGTGTCGTAAAAGGCGAGTATATACGTCCCCAGCAACCTATATGTGTCGTAACAGGGGAGAAAATATATGTCCTCAACAACCTATAAGTCCTAAGAGGCGACTGAATACGTCCTCAGCAACCTATTTGTGTCGTAAGAGGCGAGTAAATACGTCCTCAGCAATCTATATGTGTCGTAAGAGGCAAGTAAATATTTCCCCAGCAACCTATATGTGTCGTAAGAGGCGAGTAAATAAGTCCCCAGCAACCAATATGTGTCGTAAGAGGCGAGTATATATGCCCACAGCAACCTATATCTGTCATGAGAGGCGACTAAATACGTCCTCAGCAACCGATATGTGTCCTGAGAGGTGAGTAAATATGTTCCAAGCAACCTATATGTGTCGTAAAAAGCGACTAAATACGTCCTCAGTAACCTATATGTGTCGTAAAAGGCGAGTAAATACGTCCCCAGCAATCTATATGTGTCGTAAGAAGCGAATAAATACGTCCCCAGCAATCAATATGTGTCGTAAAAGGCGAGTATATATGCCCACAGCAACCTATATGTGTCGTAAGGGCGAGTAAATATGTCCCCAGCAATCAATATGTGTCGAAAGAGGCGAGTAAATACGTCCCAAGAAATTTATATGTGTCGTAAAAGGCGAATAAGTACGTCCCTAGCAAACTATGTATGTCGTTAAAGGCGAGTATATACGTCCCCAGCAACCTATATGTTTCGTTAGAGCCGACTAAATACGTCCTCAGCAACCTATATGTGTCCCAAGAGGCACGTACATACGTCCCCTGCAACCTATATGTGTCGTAAGAGGCGAGTAAATATGTCCCCAGCAACCTATGTGTCGTAAGAGGCGACTAAATACGTCCTCAGCAACCGATATGTCCCCTAAGAGGCGAGTAAATACGTCCCCAGCAACCTATATGTGTCGTAAGAGGCGACTAAATACGTCCTCAGCAACCCATACTCGCCCTAAGAATGGACTAAATACGTTCCTCAGCAACCTTTTTGTGTCGTAAGAGGCGAGTAAATACGTCCTCAGCAATCTATGTATGTCGTAAGAGGCGAGTATATACGTCCACAGCAATCTATATGTGTCGTAAGAGGCAAGAAAATATTTCCCCAGCAACCTATATGTGTCGGAAGAGGCGAGTAAATAAGTCCCCAGCAACCAATATGTGTCGTAAGAGGCGAGTATATATGCCCACAGCAACCTATATGTGTCATGAGAGGCGACTAAATATGTCCTCAGCAACCGATATGTGTCCTGAGAGGTGAGTAAATACGTCTCAAGCAACCTATATGTGTCGTAAGAGGCGAGTAAATACGTCCTCAGCAACAAATACTCGCCCTAAGAGGCGACTAAATACGTCCTCAGCAACATATATGTGTCTCTAGGGGCGAGTAAATACGTCCTCGGCAACCTATGTGTCCTAAGAGGGGAGGAAATACGTACCCAGCAACATATATATGTCATAAGAGGCGACTAAATACGTCTTCAGCAACCTATATATGTCATAAGAGGCGACTAAATACGTCCTATGCAGCCTATACGTGTCGTAAAAGGCGAGTATATACGTCCCCAGCAACTTATATGTGTCGTAAGAGGCGAGAAAATACGTCTTCAGCAATCTATATGTGTCGTAAGAGGCGACTAAATACGTCCTCAGCAGCCTATACGTGTCGTAAAAGGCGAGTATATACGTCCCCAGCAACCTATATGTGTCGTAAGAGGCGAGAAAATATGTCCTCAGCAACCTATAAGTCCTAAGAGGGGACTAAATACGTCCTCAGCAACCTATATGGGTCATTCTAAAAAAATGGCAGAATTTCAACTAAGCAAAAACATCAAAATTGTCTTTTGTAAAATACCTTTTTCATTGACTCAGTACACAAAGTAACTTCTGAGTAACAATGTTAAGCAAAATGACACCTTAATAATCAATGATGTCCTAATTATGATAATTAATTAACACTGAATAGGAAACATATGTCTGTCCTGATACCATGTTAACAATTATATTTTCTGCAACAATATTTTTCAAAGTTCAACACAAATCATGTCAGTTCTTGTTTTTAAATGTATTCTTTAATATTTCAATGAGACGAATTAAAAAGAGATTGGATACATTATTTTATGGACAGATTTGTTCAGCTTTGAGTCAAATGAAAACATTTGAATTCATTCAAATCCAATATGACAAACATACCCTGATTATTGCATCATTTATTTGACACATATACTTCATTATATGATATATGTTTGAATTCAAATATGTTCTTCTGAAAAAAAAATAAAAACATAATCAGTATATTTCTATTTTAAGTGCCGGTAACAGGACAGACAACGTAGTAACAGGACGGACAATTGAAAGTAACAGGACGGACAATCGGCTTTGATTGCAGATAACTATAACGTTCAGGAGTTCAAGATTTTGAAATATCTGACAAATACAAAAAAAAGTATGTGCAATTGATTACACCTGAACATATAAGGTGTAATTAACTGAATATTCTTGTATGTAATCTGAACTATAGAAACCGGTCGGTAACAGGACGGACAATTGAAAGTAACAGGACGGACAAACTTATGTTTGCAGTCAACTATCCTGTTCAGAAGTTCAAAGTTTTGAACTCTGACAAATAAGAAAATGTTTTGCTTATTTAACAGTATCTGATCATATGGATGTTATAAACTGAATGTTCTTCTATGTAATCTGAATGTAGGATACTGGTAGGTAACAGCACAGACGAAAGTAACGACAAAGACAATTACTTTTGCTTTTTGGGTTAATCCCTAGAATTACAAAGAATTTAAATTGATTTAAACTTACACTAAATAGTCATATGACAGTTTTTGTCAATAAGCAACAACATAGTAACCAACTTTATCCATGTCAAAAATCAACATAATCTGGAGAAAAAACTCGTCAGAAGATTTCCTGTTGAAGCCGAATTCTTTTGCAATTGTATTCGCAAATACTGAAATAAACGGTCTGAATGGGTGAATTATAATTTCCTTAAAAGTACAATTCACTTGTATCTATGATTATTTGATTAGTGCCAGAATTAAATGATGCCTTTCATTCACCCAGAAACTACAGGTTGTTTATTGTTTCTTGTTTTATCTTATCTGTAATAGCTTCCCAGTAAAAAATTTCAACACTGAAGTGGGAAGCAGTGCCTTCAATCTTCTTTCGTTCAGGAATGATGGTAATAATGTCCTCGTGCTTGTACGAGCATTTGTCCAGCAGGAGTCTTGGCCAGAAGAATGATTTTTGATCCCATTTTTTGCCAGGCTTGTGCATGCATTCCACATATATATCATAGGTAGAAACATCTATGTATCCAGGATATGGAAAACCATCATATAACACAACAACACATTTTCCAAGACACTCTTCTGTATCAACTGGAACGGATAATAAAATGTCACTCTCACTTTTCTCAACCTCACCCTTCTCCACCACACCACCTGTCTTCTTCACACTTTTCTCAACCTCACCCTTCTCCACCACACCCCCTGTCTTCTCCACACTTTTCTCAACCTCACCCTTCTCCACCACACCACCTGTCCTCTCCACACTTTTCTCAGCCTCATCCTTCTGTTGTTGTTTTTTTATCAGATAACTATCCTCAACAAAGTAGTCTATTTTTTATGTATATATGTTTTCTTCTAAACTGTGATAAATTTGAAAACATATCTCTCAATATTTCATAAAATTAGAATATTTAGTGATTGGATAAGAAAAGTTAGATAAAGATGACCAAATGTCTGTGCTGTTACTTTTAAATCTTAACCAACTTTTTTTTATTCAGCTTGGAAGATTTGTACAACCATAGCCTCTTGAATGCCTGTGTTATTTCAAAGGAATTATTTGTGTTGATATGGTAATTATATTATTGATTGGTTATACTAGGTAAGACAGTTTAAGGTGATGATAAGTCTGTGCTGTTACCACGGAATGTCTGTGCTGTTACTTTTTCATCAGATAACTATCTTCAACAAAGTAGTCTATTTTTTATGTATATGTTTTCTTCTAAACTGTGATAAATTTTAAAATATATGTCTTAATGTTTCATAAAATTTGAATATTGAGTGATTGGACAAGAATGGTTAGATAAAGCTGACCAAATGTCTGTGCTGTTACCAATATTTGTCTCTGCTGTTACTTTTAAGTCTTGAGCAACTTGTTTTTATTCAGCTTGGAAGATTTGTACAACTCTAGCCTCTTGAATGTCTGTGTTATTTCAAAAGGAATTATTTGAGTTATTATGGTAATTATATTATTGATTGGTTAAACAAGGAAAGACAGTTTAAGATGATGATAAGTCTGTGCTGTTACCACCAGTGTCTGCCCTGTTACATGTTTGAAGGTAACAGCACAGACAGTAACAGCATAGACAAATTGACATTAATTACAGTTTTTTTAATGAGACCTCCCTTGAAATGTTGAGACCACATGACATTGTGAACAGTTCATATTGTCTAATATTCTGAAAAAATGGTTTTCGAAAAAAATATTTGTTTTGGCAAAAATAAGCAGTAACAGCACAGACATAAGAAAAGGGTATTCATGATAGGAATAAACTTCCCTGTCAAGCAGAATTATCCAAGGTCTTCTCTCACTTGAAGGACACTACTGGCATGATAGCACAGGAAGTAAGCTGTATTTCTGTTATTTTGAATTATGGGAATCTTGAAGGATTATTTATTTTTCAGTTTTGATCCATCCTGGTAACAGGACAGACACTTTTTTATGTACCAGTGTTTCTTACCAAAAACCCATATAAATAACAGTGTGTATCTTTAAAAGATAATTTTATTCGATGAGTTAGAAAGGTAATGTACAATATATAAACATTTTTTACATAATATTTTTAATTTTAAGCAACATTAAACAATGTTGATGTGCAAACTTAGGGTTACGGACACACCCTTCAGCTCAATTTAACCGCAATTAAGCAGTTTTAATTAAAATAAAATACATAATAAGAATTACTGAAACTTAACTTTCAGACACCATGGTATGTTCTACGAAAAACACTTGTGTTTAAACATATCTAAAATAAATATTTTAATTATTATTCAACTCGGACTAAAAATCTCACTTTTTTTTAGAATGACCCATATATGTCCTAAGAGGCGACTAAATACGTCCTCAGCAGCCTACACGTGTCGTAAAAGGCGAGTATATACGTCCCCAGCAACCTATATGTGTCGTAAGAGGTGAGTAAATAAGTCCCCAGCAACCAATATGTGTCGTAAGAGGCGAGTAAATAAGTCCCCAGCAACCAATATGTGTCCTGAGAGGTGAGTAAATACGTCCTCAGCAATCCATACTCGCCCTAAGAATGGACTAAATACGTTCCTCAGCAACCTATTTGTGTCGTAAGAGGCGAGTAAATACGTCCTCAGCAATCTATATGTGTCGAAAGAGGCGAGTAAATACGTCCACAGCAATCTATATGTGTCGTAAGAGGCAAGTAAATATTTCCCCAGCAACCTATATGTGTCGGAAGAGGCGAGCAAATAAGTCCCCAGCAACCAATATGTGTCCTGAGAGGTGAGTAAATATGTTCCAAGCAACCTATATGTGTCGTAAGAAGCGACTAAATATGTCCTCAGCAACCTATATGTGTCGTAAGAGCCGAGTAAATACGTTTCAAGCAACCTATATGTGTCCTAAGAGGCGAGTAAATACGTCCTCAGCAACCCATACCCGCCCTAAGAGGCGACTAAATACGTCCTCAGCAACCTATATGTGTCCTAAGAGGCGAGTAAATATGCCCTCAGCAACCCATACTCGCCCTAAGAGGCGAGTAAATACGTCCTCAGCAACCTATTTGTGTCGTAACAGGCGAGTAAATACGTCCTCAGCAATCTATATGTGACGGAAGAGGCGAGTATATACGTCCCCAGCAACCTATATGTGTCGTAAAAGGCGAGTAAATATGTCCTCAGCAATCTATATGTCTCGTAAGAGGCGAGTAAATACGTCCACAGCAACCTATATGTGTCCTAAAAGGCAAGTAAATATTTCCCAAGCAACCTATATGTGTCGTAAAAGGCGAGTATATATGCCCACAGCAACCTATATGTGTCATGAGAGGCGACTAAATGCGTCCTCAGCAACCGATATGTGTCCTGAGAGGTGAGTAAATATGTTCCAAGCAACCTATATGTGTCGTAAGAAGCGACCAAATACGTCCTCAGCAACCTATATGTGTCCTAAGAGGCGAGTAAATATGCCCTCAGCAACCCATACTCGCCCTAAGAGGCGAGTAAATACGTCCTCAGCAACTTATTTGTGTCGTAAGAGGCGAGTAAATATGTCCTCGGCAATCTATATTTGTCGGAAGAGGCGAGTATTTACGTCCCCAGCAACCTATATGTGTCGTAAAAGGCGAGTAAATATGTCCCCAGCAATCTATATGTGTCGTAAGAGGCGAGTACATATGCCCACAGCAACCTATATGCGTCATGAGAGGCGACAAAATACATCCTTAGCAACCGATATGTGTCCTGAGAGGTGAGTAAATATGTTCCAAGGAACCTATATGTGTCGTAAGAAGCGACTAAATACGTCCTCAGCAACCGATATGTGTCCTAAGAGGTGAGTAAATATTTCCCAAGCAACCTATATTTGTCGTAAGAGGCGACTAAATACGCCCTCAGCAACCTATATGTGTCGTAAGAGGCGAGTAAATACGTCTCAAGAAACCTATATGTGTCCTAAGAAGCGAGTAAATACGTCCTCAGCAACCCATACTCGCCCTAAGAGGCGTCTAAATGCGTCCTCAGCAACCTATTTGTGTCGTAAGAGGCGAGTAAATACGTCCTCGGCAACCTATGTGTCCTAAGGGGCGAGTAAATACGTCCTCAGCAACCTATATTTGTCCTAAGAGGCGCGTAAATACGTCCTCAGCAACATATATATGTCATAAGAGGCGACTAAATATATCCTCAGCAACCTATATATGTCATAAGAGGCGAGTAAATACGTCCTTAGCAACATATATGTGTCCTAAGAGACGAGTAAATACGTCTCCATCAATCTATATGTGTCGTAAGAGGCGTGTAAATACGTCCCCAGCAATCCATATGTGTCGTAAAAGGCGAGTATATACGCCCACAGCAACGTATATGTGTCTTAAGAGGCGAGTAAATACGTCCCCAGCAATCTATATGTGTCGTGAGAGGCGAGTAAATACGTCCCCAGCAACATATATGTGTCGTAAGAGGCGAGTTAATACGTCCCAAGCAACCTATATATGTCGTAAGGTCAGGAACAGTGACTGCATGTCGATCATTGTATCCCAATTGTGTGATCATGGTGTCAATCACTGGATTGTCTGGTCTTCCAGCTGGAATATTGCACACTGTGGCGTTAAACAACAACAGACACAACAAATTGTTTACGAGCGACTGGGTGACACTTATACCTGTTTGGTGAAACCCTGGGGCATGAATGGTGCTGACAAACATGATTCGAACCCCAGATCTTTGGAGCACTGGATCCTAAGGGACGCAACTCTGCACAGGGAATAAAGCGACTGTGCCGTCCTGCAGCCTATACATGCATGTCAGGTAAACCCAACATTATTTATAAAGTGAAGGCAGTGTTGTTACCGAGTGTACAGTGAATGACGTATTTGTCATCGATATGGGAAGATCTAGCTTAATATAAGTTGTACTCAATATTTCAAATCTCCAAAAGTGGCTTTTCTAATACCACGTTAGATGTGTGAACGTGAAAGCTCGTTAATACGGAAGTGGATAATCTAATATCTAATTATTCGAATACATAAAACCTGACATTAGAGGTGAGGTGAAATGGGTTTAACGTCGCGTCCAAGATTATTGCACTTATATAGCAACGTGCATTCACATGCCGAGCGCCAAACAGGGTCATAACAAGTACCACCTTTAAACGTCTTTTGGAATGACGCGGCCAAGGATCGAACCCCGGACCTTCCGCTCTCCGGGCGGACGCTCTACCACAAGAGCACGGAGGCGGTCTCCTGACATAAGAGCTTATTAAAAGGACCCTAGCATTATATATATTCATAGATGGCATATCGAGTTAAAGTGGGTTTCGGTTTATGTGTGTGTTAATAAAGTAAACACCAACACAGTTCTTTTTTTCTTCATATTTATTCACAGAACAATTGAATTTCCACACCACACTACAATGACTTGTAAATTTCGACCCGTGAAGATTCCGGGGTGGAATAGGTCTTCAGCAACCCATACTTGCCGTAAAAGGCGACTATGCTTGTTGTAAAAGGCGACTAACGGGATCGGGTGGTCAGGCTCGCTGACTTGGTTGATACATGTCATCGATCCCAATTGCGTGGATCGATGCTCATGATGTCAATTACTGGTTTGTCTGGTCCAGATTCGATTATTAACAGACTGCAGTCATATAGCCCGCTGACTTTGTTGATCCATGTTAGTGTATCCCAATTGCGAAGATCGATGTTCATAATGTTAAGCACTTGGTTTTCTGGTCCAGACTCAGACTGGTGTCATATAGCTGGAGTATTACTGAGTGCGGCTTTACAAAACAAACACACAAACAAACTACTGCTGCTGCTACCACCACCTCTACTACTACTACTACTGCTGCTGCTACTGCTGCTGCTACTGCTGCTGCTACTACTACTTCTACTGTTAGCACTACTACTGCTGCTACTACTGCTACTACCACTACTACTACTACTTCTACCGCTAATACTACTGCTCCTGCTGCTACTGCAGCTGCTACTACTACTTCTACTGGTCCAGACTCGATTATTTTACAGACCGCCGACATATAGCTGGAATATTGCTGAGTGCGGCGTTAAACAACAAACAAACAAACAAACTTGTAAATTCAGTACTATCTATAACCAATATTAACATGGTTGCTTAACGTCATGATTCTGCTTCGAAAATAGCCTATAAATTATGCACACAGATTCTGGTTACTCAGATGAGTTGAACAAGGCTGGCGAGCACAGCAGAGCAATCTTCAGTAGAACACGGATATAACGAACCCGGATATAGCGAACAAACGGATACAACGAACCTTTTATAACCTTTCCAGTAGAGTCACCAGCCCATTACGAAACAGCCAGTTCAGCAGCATGACGACAAGTGCACACAGGCACAGCTTCTTCAGCAGACTTGTCCATCCATCATACAGTCCATCCCTTTCATTCTGCCCTGACTTTCTGGTTTGCATGGGATACAGCGTCTTCTCTCGCACAGAAAAGATGGCGTTCCGAGCTCCGGACCACTTCCCCGGACCTTCCAGTCTCCACTGGGGGGGAACCGCGGGCCCGAACACCATCTTGTACCACAGCTTCGGGTCAGTGAAGAACATCCGTCCAAGATTAGGTTTGCAACCGATGTGAGAACCTATTTCGTCTTGGTACTGAATGAAATACACTTGAAGCGTGTACCTTGCAGAGTCCACGTACCTTGTTTTCAGGAATGCCTTCCGTTTTTCCAGCTCGGAAAGCATTACTGAAGGGGGAGGTAACTCTACTCGACCTGCGAATACTCTCGAAGCGAGTCGTGCTTGAATTTCAAGAATTGGGGGAAGAGATCCAAAGGGTTGGACTAAGCCCACAACTGCAAAAGAGTTTTGGTGAATATTTGGTGGGAAGATAAGTTTGTACAAGTATGAAAAATGTCCCTCCATCTTCACAATGGAACTGTCGAGAAATGGGAAGCTGTAGTTGTATCCTGTAGCCAGAATGACCACGTCAATGTCCTTCACCTCTGACCCATCCTCAAATATGGCTCCAGTTTTGGTGAATGTTTTGATGTCGGATTTTATGCTAATAGCTCCAATGAGAATTCTGTTTGGCAGATCATCACTGATGGTTGAAACGCCTGCGTCAAAGCGAAAGTTGGGAGAAAGTCCATAATCCCTGTGTCGGTAGCGGTAGTTGATTTTGTGGTAGTGTATGGGGCGCATCAGACTGACGGGGATGCCCTGGACCCAGCGCTGGATGGCGACCTGGTCGAACGGTTGGCCAAACTCCCCCGCCCTCTGTATTGTGTAGCATCCACGACGGGTACTGATGTACACCTGTGGAGGGATGAGAAGGGGATAATGAAGGCCATAAACATTGCGGCACACATGAATTATTTGAAACGCGTAGCACGTTATTATTGAGTATACGATGGGGTGCAGGGTGCAGGATGCAGGATGCAGGATGCGGGATGCGGAATGCTGGATGCGGGATGCTGGATTCGGGATGCTGGATGCTGGATGCGGAATGCTGGATGCGGGATGCTGGATGAGGGATGCGGGATGCGGAATGCTGGATGCGGGATGCTGGATGCGGAATGCTTGATGCGGGATGGGGGATTGGGGATGCTGGATGGGGGATGCTGGATGGGGGATGCTGGATGCGGAATGCTGGATGCGGGATGCTGGATGCGGGATGATTGATGCGGGATGCTGGATGCTGGATGGGGGATGCTGGATGCGGGATGCTGGATGGGGGATGCTGGATGCGAGATGGGGGATGCGGGATGCTGGATGGGGGATGCGGGATGCTGGATGGGGGATGGGGGATGCTGGATGCGGGATGCTGGATGGGGGATGCTGGATGCGGGATGCTTGATGCGGGATGGGGGATGCTGGATGCTGGATGGGGGATGCTGGATGCGGGATGCTGGATGGGGGATGCTGGATGCGAGATGGGGGATGCTGGATGCGAGATGGGGGATGCGGGATGCTGGATGGGGGATGGGGGATGCGGGAGGCTGGATGGGGGATGCGGAATGCTGGATGGGGGATGGGGGATGCTGGATGCGGGATGCTGGATGGGGGATGCGGATGCGGCATGTAGGGTGAGGGGTGCTGGACGCGGGATGTGGGATGCTGGATGTGGGATGCTGGATGCTGGATGCTGGATGCAGGATGCAGGATGCAGGATGCGGATGCGGCATGTGGGATGAGGGGTGCTGGATGCGGGATGTGGGATGCGGGATGCTGGATGCGGGATGGGGGATGGGGGATGCGGGATGCTTGATGCAGGAAGCGGCATGTGGGATGCGGGATGGGGAATGTGGGATGGGGGATTGGGGATGGGGGATGCTGGATGGGGGATGCTGGATGGGGGATGCTGGATGGGGGATGCTGGATGCGGGATGGGGGATGCTGGATGCGGGATGCTGGATGCGGGATGTGGGATGCTGGATGTGGGATGCTGGATGCTGGATGTGGGATGCGGGATGCTGGATGCGGGATGGGGGATGCGGGATGCTTGATGCAGGAAGCGGCATGTGGGATACGGGATGGGGAATGTGGGATGCGGGATGGGGGATTGGGGGTGCTGGATGGGGGATGCTGGATGGGGGATGCTGGATGCGGGATGCTGGATGCGGGATGCTGGATGCTGGATGCTGGATGCTGGATGCGGGATGCTTGATGCTTGATGCAGGAAGCGGCATGTGGGATGCGGGATGCGGGATGTGGGATGTAGGATGGTTGAATGATGGATACCTGATTTCCCATTGAGTTAAATATATCTACTTTTTCACACAAGTTAAAAGTATACTGCATCCATTATAACCCTTCTTGTCCCGAAAAGCATGCTTTCGCAAAAGTACAAAGAACTTATAACATTTGAACTTGTAAATCTCGAAAGCTTTAATTTTTAACATAAGTTTGTTATGGATTTGTAAAAGTAACAAATCTTTATAGAATTCTATATCCTACTTATCTATATGTACAATAGGAGCAATGATTATCATTGCAGAAAAAAACAATACGACTTACATGTTCTGCGTGCCTACTCAATACACAAGCCACGTCACTTCCGGAATTACCAATCCCAACAACCAGAACTCGCTTATTTTCAAATCCGTGGAAGTCTTTGAAGTCGTGAGTATGCAGAACCCGACCGCTGAACTGTTTCAAACCCTCGAGATGTGGAATATTGGGTTCTGTCAGGTGCCCGTGACATACCATAACGAAATCCACAGCCTCTCTTTCGATCTTTCCCGTCTGCAAATCACGATTGATGATCACCCAACTTCCGGTTTCTTCAAAGTTATCTCCCTTTTCAACCTTCTCAACTAACCTATGGAAGCGGATGTACTCTCGGAGTTTGAAATGGCTGGCATAAAGCTCAAGATATTTTTGAAAATATGATCTGTGCATGAAGTTGGGAAACTCTTTGGGTATGGGGAAATCACTGAAGCATGTCATCTCCTTACTGGTGTTGATAACACACGAACTGTAGACACTGGGGCAGCCATCTTGGGGAGTAGGGGAGTAATTCCACAGCCCTCCAATGTCGTCCGACTTCTCAAAACAGATCGGCAGCAGACCTTCATCAAGGGAAGATTTAATGGCCGCCAGACCCGCTACTCCCCCACCTATCACTCCAACTGTTTTCGGCATTGCGGCTGCAGGATTCTGCTTAGCAATGTACAGACTGAAAGCAAATATAGAAAACGGGCTAGTTGAATAATTCAACAGTTACTTTTTGCATTCTTACAGGACAAATGATGTATGACCTTTCATAAAGCAAGTAATATCACTTCATTGTGAAAGTCCTATTACCTGTCTGCTGGTGTTCGTTAGGTTCAGTTCCGTAGAAACACTATGCAGAGAGACCCGTGAAGATTCCGGGTAGAATAGGTCTTCAGCAACCCATATTTGCCGTAAAAAGCGACTATGCTTGTCGCAAAAGGCGACTAACGGGATCGGGTGGTCAGGCTTGCTGACTTGGTTGATACATGTCATCGATCCCAATTGCGTGGATTGTCTGGTCCAGACTCGATTATTTTACAGACCGCCGTCATATATCTGGAATATTGCTGAGTGCGGCGTTAAACAACAAACAAACAAACAAACAACTAAGTAGAGATACTCCGGGGGTGTTGTTATGGGTATTTGTCTTGACTTAAAAATGTACAGACAGGTGGCGGGGTTTATATAGTACTCCAACCTTGACCTCTTATGTGTAAAGCGTTTTGACAGGTAAAGTTGTGGGATGAAATAACCTTGATCTCTGTTGATTGATGGCTTGTGGCGGCGAATGTTGACTGCTTCTGTTAATTTTCTTTTAGTAAAGTCATGGCGGTTGTCGGAGAGGATTTGGACGTTTTCCTAGTTGATGTTGTGATTGGGGCAGTTGCTAATATGGTCCGATGGCTGATTTAATGTCTGATTTGATGGTTGAAGTTTTGTCCTTCGCAGGTGAAACATCCCGCCCCATCAACACCAGAATCAAAGAGCAAACATTCGCCGCCACAAGCCATCAATGAACAGAGATGAAGGCTATTTCATACCACCCACCTACGATCAACTCATAAAGCAATAATCACCACACCTATGCAAACTTATCCTGTTTAATTGGCTTTTTCCGCCGTGTATATGATAAATGCACGTCGAAGTGCTTAATAGTTGTTCGAATAGTTCATTGGTGTCGTACTTTTATCGTTTTGGATTTTGAATGCAATATTTGTATGTAAACAATAACCTTTATTTGTTGTATTCATTCTTTATTCTAGTCAAGATTCGACTATAATTGCGTACTTTTTGTTTGTCCTTTATTTCAACTTTGTATTTTTTTACCGAATGGCAGCCATCATGTTCTCCTAAAAACGTCTATCGGAAAAGGGCTAAAACGACCATGAACACGTCATAATTGTCATATCAAGTCGAACCTGACATTTACTTAGTTAATTTGAGCTTAATGTTTTGAATATATGAATAGGACAAAAGATTCTTTTGAAGTACGTTATGTATCCAGATCGATGCTTGTCAACATGTCTAATCCGCACGTGTTAATAATAGCTTCCTCCACGTGATGTTTTATGGAATCCTGACCTTGTTCAATTCAGAGTGACTACTCAGTATCTTAACACCCTCAAAACATTGATTGAGATTCACCCATGGTCCAGTGTTTTTGCAGTTTTAGCAGACTGACATTGTCGTTGGCATGTATACTTTTCCATCGAATACTCTTCCCATCCACACAGCTTGTATTTGGAAAACCTGTTGAGTGTTATATTGTACTCGCACTATTCAGCCCAACGAAGCAATTATTCAATAGTAACATGGACACTGTTGAAAACGGTAATGTTTTCCCATGATAACAATGTTATCATTAACATTATATTACGTTCGTACCTTTTAAGTATTTATTGGTTTGGTTTGGGTTGTTTGTTGTTTAACGCCGCACTCAGCAATATTCCAGCTTTATGACGGCGGTTTGTAAATAATCGAGTCTGGAACAGACAATCAAGTGATTGACACCATGACCATCGATCCACACAATTGGGATCGATGACATGCATCAACCAAGTCAGCGAGCCTGACCACCCGATCCCGTTAGTCGCCTCTTACGACAAGCATAGTCGCCATTTATGGCAAGCATGGGTTTCTGAAGACCTATTCTACCCTGGATCTTCACGGGCATTTATATTTAAGTATTTATTAAAACCACCTCGTCCTATAACATGGTAAAGTAAATGACATACACAAGGATATCGAACTGACAGCAGTCTCGCAATAGCGGTTAATACTTACTTATTACTCAATACACTTTGTATTGTCGTCGCTTCACTACCTACCTTAACTGTAACGCTGCACAATATATGTTTATAAATAAACCGATATATGCACATGCACACACTCTACACTTCCACACACCTACACAATCATTATTAAAAATAAAAAATAGTGTGTGCATGTGTGTCACTTGTTCCGTATCCATGTGATATTTTGCTATAAAATATGTTTAAATAAATCAAATAATAGGTGCTTATGAATAGATAGAGACCCCAGTGAAAAAATACAAGAAAGGACAATGTAAACAAGTGCCATAACGTTGTTTGAAAAAGGATTTCAGTAACATCACGCTATAATAGTTTGATGTTTAATTAAAAGCGACGAAACCCTTTCATGATCATAATAATCTCGGCTAAAAGAAAGAAAGTATTTCGTGATGCGGGCCAGAGAATCGAGCCTGGTGGTCCTAGAGCTAAGAGGTATAGTCAGTTTGTCTTTAAGTTACCGTTTACTATTAAAATATTCACAGCATACATAACGAAAATATGGAACTAGCACCACGTGAGCACCTACCTGGCTTGTCCTTCTCGCAGTCAGTGATAGGGTGGCTGTTCAAGTCAGTCTTTATCTGAGCCATCTGGGATCTCCCATATATATACTGAACCGCAAAAGAAACGTCACAATGGATAGATATATGAGAAACCTTATTTGTCCAAACACTGTAAACATACTTTGAGACATGTTAAAAAGATGAAACTTGGCAAAACTGATCATCAAGGTTGAAATTAAAGTGTCAAATGTTCTTAAAGTGAAACACAACACTAGTCTCTGAGAAAATGGCATCACAAGTCAGTATCTCGTGTGTCCACCATGTGCATTGTTGACTGCCGTGCAACGTCGATACATTGAATGGATGAGGCGGTTGATGAAGGCCATAGGCACTTGAGCCCGCACTCTGAGGAACGCCTAACGCAGTTCAGCTGCAGTTGTCGGCCTTGGTCGGACGTCATTCAGCCGTCTTTGAATCTCGTCCCACAGGTGCTCAATGGGTTTTAAATCGTGACTGAGGGCAGGCCACTGCATGGTTCTGATGCCATTCCGCTGGAGGAAGTCATGTGTTGCCCTCGGAGTGTGGGCACGGGCGTTATCATGCTGAAACTCGAGATACAGTAACGGCTCTCGTCTGAGAATACTCTTTTACTCTCCTGGTGGCGCCAATGCTGGTCCTGTGTTGCCCACTAAAGACGGTCCCGGAAATGACGTGGTGTCAGAATGGGTCCTCGGTGCGGCCTGTGACAGTGGTGTCCGCTCGTCAGTCGTCGACGCATGATGTCCGCGCTAATGTGTCGCTGCCCCATGGTCTGTCGAGCAGTTTCCGCATCAGTAACAAAACGATCTTGAAGATGCTGTCGCACAATCTGACGACCTTGACGTCGGATGGTGACCCTTGGTCTTCCGCTACGTGGTCGGTCATCTGTAGTGGTGGTTGTCTGGTACCGTTGCTGGAGCCTGTATATGGTCCTTTCGTGGACTTGAAATACATTGTCTACTTGCCGGGCGGTTTATCCAGCTTGCAATCGTCCTTGGTGTCGCTGATTTCTTGTCAATCTTGGCATGTGGTAGCAATTCAATAACGTTATCCGATTTGGGTGGATTTTTATAGGGCAAGAAATGGGATACCGCACGTGCGTTTCAATTTAGACCGAGCTCACGTGCATCGGGTTACCATGGCCGTTACCGTGATGCGTTTGGGCGATCGGTTTTATTGTCATCTGCTTTGTTTTTTATAATCAAATTTCATTTTTCCGGACGAAGTAATGTTAGATTTTAGAAACTTTGTAAAAAATTACCCAGATATTTGAATGACAACTTTTCATGCAATGTTACTTGGGGTGACGTTTCTTTTGCGGTTCAGTGTAGATGTAAAAACAATAGCCATCAATGTAGGTATATACTTATCTACCTTGCTACACAAGGCAGACTTCGCAGAAGATATATTATTATCTAAGATACTCCTGAACACATTACATCATCTATTGATGTTATGGGTCACCGCCACGCCGCCATTCGGCACACATGGTTAAGCTGACATTGTCCTGTTGTGTTTTGTCCTGAGCAGATAGGCGATAATGCATGTAAACACTTACTATATATTGACAAATGCAAGATTATGCATCAAGAATTTACCCTAACTTATCTTTAAAGTACTGAATGGACACTAGAATTAGAACTGACATTATTTCTAGTTGGTGATCTGGTTGTGGAATTTCCCAAGGTGTGCAATTGACATACTTATTTACATTTGCTTTAATACAAGTTATGATTCAATTATAATAATTATGTTCAGCAAGTTTCTTCTAAATTCCCCGTTTCATTCAAAAAAAATTTAAGTTTTTTAAAAATAAATTGCCTCCTCTATCGCAAGTTTAATTAATTAAATATTAATAACATTTGATTTTGTTGCTTACGCACGTGTTATATAACCTACGTGTATTTCAGTCAAGAAGCATCTTGTTATATTATTGTTTGTTTGTTGTTTAACTCCGCAGTATTCGAGCTATGTGACGGCGGTCTGTAAATAATCAAGTCTGGACCAGACAATCCCGTGATTAACATCATGAGCATCGATCCACGCATTTGGGATACGATGACATGCATCAACCAAGTCAGCGAGCCTGACCACCCGATCCCGTTAGTCGCCTCTTACGACAAGCATAGTCGCCTCGTGTTATATTAAGTGCAAGGATACGTTGTTTCATTTTCAGACATAACAATAATTAACTATAATGTATTCGTAACCAGATACTATAAACATGTAAATATGGCCAGTACCAATTATTTGTTATTCATACGATGATCTTAATTTTATTGACGTCGAATTGGATTTTTTGACGTTTTCCTCTGTCGTTGTATATTGGTCTGTTAAAACGTTTTACTCCAACAAATATATTAGCCTTGTCTTCCGCTTTGACTGAATACTTTTAACTTATAGAACATTATTAATTTATACCGATATATGCCCCCTTTCAATGCCCCCTTTAGAGTTCAGGCTAATCCTTCTGCATTCCACCCTGTGTCGTATGCATAGTATCCAGGGATATAAAAGGTTTCTAGCCTGGCACGGGTTACATGCTTGCCCTACGTCTCTTTATTGTGACCAAATAATATGGCTTGACAACGCTTCGTCAATTAGTATTATCCAAAATGAATTCATTTTGAAATACTCCACTTAAAGTTAGCTTACGAAAACGTAAATAATATTTGTCACCACGTACTTACTGACAGCTAACTTTTTCTTTCAGACCGCCTCCGTGATCTAGTACTAGAGCGTCCGCCCGGAGAGCGGAAGGTCCGGGTTTCGGTCATACCTAAAGACTTTAAAAGATGGTACTTGTTGTTACCCTGTCTGGCGCCCGGCATTGGGGGGCTAAAACAAGGACTGGTCCGCTCGGAGTCAGTATACTGTGTCTGAGTAGGGTATGCATGTTAAACTGCGGCATGGTATCTCAGTGGGCTAGCACTATAAATCGGCATCAGTCTGGACTGGTACAAACAGCCACACGCACGCACGCACGCACGCACACAGACACACACAGACACACAGCCTTTTTTTCGAAACTGAAAACACCGCCTGTATAAGGTTGGACGTCATGAAAACGGGGTTTGGAGTTCGCCAAATATAAATAACTACAATTATCATGTTTTATAAAGTTATACTGTGGAAGGCCCAAAAGATGCGCGCGCGCACACGCACACGCACACACACACACACACACACACACACACACACACACACATGCAGGTCGCTTTATAAGTGTAATATATTTCGGGAGCACGGGTGACCCGGATGCGTAGGGGCGCCGCGATTCGCTGTGCAGAGTTGCGTCCCTTGGGCAAACCATAAATCCGTTTGTTTCATTTCTTTACCAATGCAGCATGTTTTTAATGGGTTTTTTTATTGCTTTCTGCTTATGTGTCATGTGTTGGTTTCCACTTCTTCCTGCGTGTTAATTTGTCAGTAATTCTGTTATTCCATTGAGAGGTTTTCAATCACCAGACATTTATTGTAGTTCATTTTGCGGAGAGCATTTTGCTTTTCCGTTGTCTTGTGTGAGGCATCACTTCGTTTTTAATTGACGACTTTGTCTAAAATACCATTCCTTCTCAAACCAATACATAATTTGAGGATTTATTAATAGTACATTGTTGGACGACCCTTCAAATGGTCTGGATATATTTGCCTTGAAAAGTCCTTAAATTAATTTTTGCTTGAAAAGGGTTGGACTTATTGTTCAAAGTTCAATTATCCTACTATTCCTTTGATTAATTTACTGAAAGTTATTCTTTTTATGTGGTTACTATGGCATTGCAATTTGAAAATAGCCTAAAATGGGATTAAAAAGGACCTCTTGTCATGTTGACAGCCTTCGTCACGGGATCATGTTGACAGCCTCTGTCCCAGGATCATGTTAACAGCCTTCATCTCGGGATCATGTTGACAGCCTCCGTTTCGGGATAATGTTGACAGCCTTCGTCTCGGGGTCATGTTGACAGCCTTCGTCCCGGGATCATGTTGACAGACTCCGTCCCGAGATCATGTTGACAGCCTTCGTCCCGAGATCATGTTGACAGCCTTAGTCTCGGGATCATGTTGACAGACTCCGTCCCGAGATCATGTTGACAGACTCCGTCCCGGGATCATGTTGACAACCTCCGTCTCGGGATAATGTTGACAGCCTTCGTCTCGGGGTCATGTTGACAGCCTTCGTCTCGGGATCATGTTGACAGACTCTGTCCCGAGATCATGTTGACAGACTCCGTCCCGAGATCATGTTGACAGCCTTCGACCTGAGATCATGTTGACAGCCTTCGTCTCGGGATCATGTTGACAGCCTTCGTCTCGGGATCATGTTGAGAGACTCCGTCCCGAGATCATGTTGACAGCCTTCGTCCTGAGATCATGTTGACAGCCTTCGTCTCGGGATCATGTTGACATCCTCCGCCTTGGATCATGTTGAGAGCCAAACGTTTGGAATGGGATTTAAACGATGTGTTGAAACATCACAAAGGAAAAAGAAGGCGTCAGCTGTGTACAATTCACACAGTATGTTGCCATTTAATCTCATTTCTGACAAAGACAAATAATGTCTTGACTTTTCCCCAAGCATTTTATTTTAATCAATGACTTAGACGAGGTGGTTACACGCTAGAAATTACATGATACATGATACACTCTGGTCAGGGATATCTACATGGACAAACATTCATGGTTACAACAAACAAACAAAGTACTGAAATATTGTGATGATCATTCAGCCACATCTGCAAAGCGCATTCTCAGATGGCTTTAAGGAGGTTGGTGGGCATCACATATCAAGCTATAGTCTTTCCAGTAGAGTCACCAGCCCATTACGAAACAGCCAGTTCAGCAGCATGACGACAAGTGCACACAGGCACAGCTTCTTCAGCAGACTTGTCCATCCGTCATACAGTCCATCCCTTTCATTCTGCCCTGACTTTCTGGTTTGCATGGGATACAGCGTCTTCTCTCGCACAGAAAAGATGGCGTTCCGAGCTCCGGACCACTTCCC